CTGCCTCCTCGTACCAGGCAGATAGGTAATACTGGCCAGCGAAGATAAGGAACGGTGGGACTGACCAGCCAGCTGCGTTGATCGCTGCGATCAGCGTTACCCACTCGCGATTGCCTGGCTCAACTGCCTTTAGCCGGCCTCTTCTCTCTAACGCTGTTACGACAAGCTGAGTCGTGATCTTGCCCATTATAAAGCTAGCTTCGTCAAAGTTATAGACGTCTTCGTCGCAGATGCCGTACTTGGCCTTTGTCTACTCCACAAGCTCAAACCAGCTCTTAATTAGGGCTAGATCTTCACATAGAGCTCTCTGCCTATCGTACGATCGATTAAAACGCGTTGTAAGAGAGCCTGTACGCCTAATGAAGTTAGCTGGCCACTTCTGCCCAACGTGGCCAGCACCACGTGCAGCTAGTAGCTTATCAGCCATATCACGTACGGCAGCGTAGGTAGGCGCAAATCCACGCTGATCTAGATCAAGTATATAGCTTATAATCACCTCCTCTTCTATCTGAGTAAGCTTTTTTGAGTTGGGCTGGCAATCGCGTCTCGCGCGCTTCCCAGCGCGTCGATCGCGTAACGTTGATTCAGGCACGTTAAAGATTGAAGCTGCGCGGCGGCCTGTTTGAATTTGATTAGAATTAAGAGATTGTATAGCAAGCTGAATATCTGATTCATTTGAGAGTAATTGAATAACGTGGCGTGGAGCCATGATAAAGGCAAGTGTAATAGAGTAAGAAAGTTGGTGAGGTGCGCGACTCGCTTGCCTGCGCGACTCGCTTATCCATCACGTTAGTTATTATTAAAGCAAAGTTTGCTCTATGTCTGCTATTATTATAGTAGAGTCTTTTTTAAAAAGCAGTGATACTTTTTATTTACCTATAGAATATTCTATAAGTTTTTAACAATTTTTATTTAGTGGTTGCACAGATATAGACCGTTGCGATTCTTGATTTTTTGGTGGGATTTAGAGTGCGTAGCTTACTGATCCGCGCAGCTTACTGATCCCGCACGTTACTAAGTACGACATATGTAATCATCAAGTTCTTCACGTGTAACTCACATGTATGTAAATGTATATGTGATTTCCATTCATGTATACAGCCCCTCAGTTGCACCTTCCCTTTCCCCTCCCACACAAGAAGAAGGAAACAAAGAAAAGTTGGGTAGTACTACCTTACCTCGCCTGGGTATAGATCCATAGAGCACAGCGAGAGAAAGAGGACGAGGGGTAATAAGTAGGCAAAAGGAAATTTCAAAAGGAAACCCCTAAATAAAGTTATCCAGGTACATACACACACACTTAACTAACTCAGTTGGATATTGCCTAGATCGAGCCTTTCCCTACTTCCATCTTCCTAAAGAAAAAACCCCTTACCCCGCGAGAATTTCCCCCAAAGGACCAAAGAAAAACGCCTACTGCTGGCTGATGAGGGTGCCAAGCAGATCAAAACAGTGATGGTAAAGAGGAAAAGAGAAAAACACAAAGGAAAAACAACCAAGAATACAACCCCAAAACAATGGGGGTATGTACTTTCCGCTGGATGGGTGCAGCGCTTTGCATGGCTCGTAACATCGATACTGAGGGGGATCAAACCAATAAAGAAAAAAAGGAGAAAAGGTATGACATAGATATACAAAGCAGCGAGAGTGTAGTGATGATGGCTGGTTTGAACAAGGAAGATAGAGAGAGAGAGAGAGAAAATAGGAGGGGATGCTTTGACAAAAATGAGTGGAAGGCCGTGGAGGGTTGGCGGAACTAGGCACTAGAAACTAGGACATTACACTTTTGTTTGCGTAACTCAACGCGCATTAGTCCTCCACAAGGCAAAATAGTTGAAGCCGTTTGGAAAGACGGGCTTGCAAAGAGAAACAGAGTCTTGACACAAAGAAAAGCTGACCGGAAAAGAGGAAAGAGGCCGGTACTGTCTTGATGGTACTTGTTGGGGCCGCCGATCTAAACAAAATGTCTTTTAAACATTGTCGAACTGCAAGACGAGCCGATGCAGTTTGAGACCATCCAAAGTTCGAATGCATAGTGTTGGTGGCGTCGCAGTTTCCGAGATAATGATAATTTCTCTGTGAGAAACTGGGTAATTTCTGGCCTGACGGTCGGCGTAACTGAACCTTGATATCGGGCATACTTCCCGAACATCTGTAGCGAGTCATTGAACTGAAGTTTCACTTTCCGAATCCAGGTTTAGGCTCTCCAAGTGGCTCCGCTTTCCCTCATAGCACGTCCCAAATGTTGCGGACAATTGGGCTGACTCCGGTCTGTACGGGACTTCGAGGATCAGCAGTAGCCTTCTCAGGCGTCCAGTGCCGCGGCATCGGGTCCTCCCATGCAGTATGGCCGTTTCGGCCATCCTTGATCGTCCCATTTGATGAAACCGGGCTTGCGTCTTCACCAGGGCTTTGCAGTTCAAAGCGGAAGGGGTTCCTAGTGAATTCTTCTGCGCGGGGTGACATGAGAGCATCAATATCGTCTGCAGCATGTCGAGGAACCGCTGCCCTTGGCAGTTTCGATTGGATCTCCGTTTGCAGCTTTTGTAATTTCCGTTGCTCGCTCATGTTTGGAGATGAAAACCTTGTTCGAATGGCCTTTCCGGGAGTAGAAAGGAAGGTTTCGCTCGGGGTCCGAGGGGTGGCCGGTGCTTTAGGATGCGCAAATGGGGTCGTTGTATGCGCACCGCCGCGGTTCAGAACTTGTTTCGCCGGTGAATTGCTGTGGCTGTCTACTCGAGGTCCAGCCAACTGGAACTGCTTCGATGCGGAAATGTTCAGCGGAGCCGGTGATTCGAAAATGCTGTTGGTCTGTGCTGTGCCATCCAGGGATGCGAAGCCATTGAAAGTTTGATGGGCAGGTGGTAGGATGGCCTGGAATGAGGGTCTCCGATCTTCCGATTCAAGGGCTTTGATGGTGGCAATACTGCTCGGCCTATCGAAAGGATTGAAATCCGCTCTAGTTGGTGAAGTCAAGCCAAAGGGATCCTCGTCTCCTAACCTGGGCTTCAATGGAGTCATGTGGAATTCGGTAGCACGTGGTGACTTTGAATCTTCCTCCAACCGATCATTGGTGCTAGAAAAGATATCATCGGAGAATTGAGTCTTCACTGGCGAAGCGATTTCTGGAGATTTTGCGTCATCATTTTCGTAGTGATCCTGGGAAGGTGCCGGGTGACCAAGATGGAATGAAGTACCGTGTGATGACAAGGGGCCGTAAGATTCATTGACATCGTCCTGCATAGCTTTAGACATGTCAAGCTTGGAGCTGCGTGGTGAAATTCCTGGGGTTACGCCATCCATTCCCTGTGGAGCAGAATCAGGTTCCTCGTTGTCCAGATCATAGCCTGCTGGCCAAGAGTTGTCAAATGATGTTTTGATTGGAGACATGAATCCAGAGTCTGCTGTATCGTAAGATGGGAAAGTAGGTATGTTGAAACTTGCGACAGCAGGGGACCTCAAGGGCTCAAAGCTAGATGGTTGTATAGGAGCCAAAAGCCTTTCTTCGGTTCTAGATGAGGCGCCCTCTTCGATGCCAAGGTTGGGTCGTAATCGAAGTTGACGAGAAAAGTTGGGAAATGAGGGGGGTTGGACATCTTCTGGTGACTGCGGTGTTGCTTCGCTGCTGGAGATATCTTCAGTATGTATGGTTGGCACATCATTGCTGGTCACCGAGACCATAGGAACGACTTGGCCCTTGGGATCGACGTATGGTGTAGTGGTCGGGGCCGGTTGGGATGTGAGCTCGAAATGCAATGGGCTAGAGTCCCATGACCTGCGGAAACCGGGGGAGAAAGCACCAGTGGGCGCAGACAGTGGACCTGGAGAAATTGCCATCATGTTTCCAGTGCTAGCACGTTGCATGGTCATGTCGCAGTCAGGAGGAAGCGGTGCTGTGCGCGGAGTACGTGATCCTGATCCACCGTCTCGATCGTACGAAGAGTACTTGTTCGATCCTGAAGGAAGACCAGCAGATCGTCGACCATAGCCTTGATTGTGATACGAGCGGCTCTCGTTCTGCCTCAGCAAGCTGTTGCGGAATTCTTGAAGCTGCATGATAAGGTTCATGTTGGGTCCAATCCACTTGCTTCGCTTCTTCGCCTTGTCGTATGCTTCTTGCACGCTCATTTGAGGATCTTTGTACAAACCATAGGCGACAATCAGACTAGCAGAACGACTGACACCACACTGACAATGAATGAGTACGCGTTTCCCTTGCTGTACCCGTTCATCAATCATTCTAACGAGTTTGTGGAGGTCGGGCACGATATCGGTATTATGCTCCCAGGGCATATGGATGTACTCTGGTGTTTTGTATGTCTTGCCCTCAATGACAACCTCTCGTGGCTGTATCGTCTGCATGACTGGTGCTGTGGCTTTGGGTGTCGTTGGAGAGCTATCGCCCATGCCAAAGGATTGCTTTGGTCTTTGCGAAAGGGTAGCGAAGTCAATATTCTCTGCTGGTGGGCCATCCACGCGCCTGGCATCGATATCCTTTTGTGATTCTCCCGATGGTGCTGTGAAAGGATTTTTGACTTCACTTGCAACGTTGATAATGACATCGAAAGTTGTGGCCTGTACAGCCGTGGGCTCAAAGTAGAGATATACACCAGCCTCGTATATGCAGATGGGACCGTTGGGGTATGCTGCTGGCTTTTCCTCGCGTGATTGGGGGACATCAAAGTTTGGCTCTTGGTCCTCCTCCTCTTCCATTTCAAAGGGGACTTCGGCAAGACCAGTTGGCTTGTTCACAACAGGACGCGGAGGCAACTGCATGCCACCGAACGGGTTTACACTTGGTGAACATAACGGCAAGGAAGGAGATGACTGGAAATGACGAAGGGGCGGGCGGTTGAAGGATGGCGTTGAAGGTATGAGGAGCCGTACTGGCTTGTTGTCTGTGCTGCCGGGTGTCGATATCGTCAGGCTCAGATTGGATGGTCTTCGCTTGGGCGGTGTCGGCGGTTTGATGAACAGCGGCGACGGAGGCGTCGAACTATTCTTCTCCTTTGGTACAACCGCAATGGGTGCTGGGGTGTGCGCTCGTAGGTTGCTCAGAGAAGACGCCGTGTTGATGCCGAGGTTCTTAAGATTCCGCGGTTTCTTCGCAGGCGTTGTTGGGCGCTGTAGCTCGAAAAATGTACTCGAGTCTCCAGACGGCTGTTCTGTCCTTCTTGACCTGAAGTCAGCAACACATGATGAAGGGGCGAGCGTTCTTCCAAGCGGCGACTCCGGCGACACGCCCGGCGATGGGTCAGTCACAGATGATGAGTCCATGGTTGAGATGGTAGTGGTGGGTGAGTTGTCGGACGATGTTGTCGAGTTGCTTTCCCGGCTATCGGTGTGAATGTGAAACGAGGAGAATGGCGCGCTCGAGGATGTGGTTGGGCTTGTTGCTGGGCGCACTAGATTAACGCCATTCCCGTCTGCATGGCCCTTGTTGTGGTGTTCTCCCCCGAATACAGCGCCGAACGAGGGCATGGGCATAAACGATCGCGAGCTGGTCTGCACCATAGTGGATCTTGGAGGTGTCGTCTGGGTCGCGGGAGGCGGGCAGCGCGCGCGTCGAGGCCAACGAGGAGCTGGAGGTAAGATGGAGGGTACTTTGGAGCAGGTCGCAAGGGACTGCTTAAGAGAGTTGGAAGGGAAAGAAGAATTAGGTGTAGAGAAAGGCCTTTTCAAAGCCGTATTGTCAGCGCCATGTGGTGTTGTGGGTAGGGCAGACATGACAAGCGCATGTGTTTCGAAACGTGAAGTGTGCAATGGGGGAGGTGGAGGTGGAGGTTGAAGACAGTGTGTGTGTGTGTGTGTGTGTGTGTGTCCGAGTTTGAGACAGGCTCGAGTGCGGAAGAGAGGGTGGGTATAGTCGAGCAAGCAACAGGCAGTAGTCGCCAGGTGACGGTTGCCCGTACGTACACAATGCCAGGCTCAGACAGGCATAGTGGTCGAGACAGGCGAAGAGAGGGCGATGCAGGGGGTGGGAGCGAGGGCGTAAGGTACAGGGGTGACAGGAATGAGAGAAGATGCAGCTTACCTGGTAGCCAGCGGCGACGGCAGTCGTGGCAGTAGTGGCAGTGGTGATGGTGAATGGGAGCGAGAATACCAGATCCTCGACTAAGCGCCTGAGGGAAGGAGCGACTAGGCCGGCGATGCGCCTATGCCTGGGAGAAAGCGGCGCGGAGAGGCAGAAAAAGTCGACTGGCGGCGCCGGTACGGGTCGTCGAGGCGGGCGTGGGTGGTGTTTGCGAGAGGGCCACGAATTGTATGCTGCGACACACAAGCACAGAGGGCGAGCGACAGGCTCAGATGCGGAGACTTGTGCAGCGTGTGGTGACCAGCTTGGGAGGGGACGAGGGAAGCCGGTCGTGGCAGAGCCGCTGCCGCCTGGTGTTTGGGGGGAGGGGGGAGAGGGGGAGAGGGGGATCGTGGGGAGGCGGGCAGGCGAGCAGGCGATGGTCGAGTGTTGAGGCGGCGTGAATGCGTCGGTCATTGTCTATGGGGGAGAGAGAAGCCAGGGCAGGGACGCTAGGCGTGGCTGCTGTGTGCAAGCGCCGACATCCAAAATAGCAACCGCCAGCCGTGCGCTACGAGGCAGCTGCGACCACTAGCACGCCATAGCCTGCCCGCCTCCCACGCAGCCAACGCCGCCTTACTGGGCCATAACTGGGCCATAACTGGGCCATGACTGCGTGCTGGCTGTCCTGTCTGTGTCCACCGCACCCGCCGAGCAGTTTGGGCGGTGCGAACTTGTTCACGCCCACTGGCACTGGCACTGGCACTGGCCTCTGCCCTCGCGGCCCACTGCCCACTGCCCTCTGTCCTCGCCCTGCCCTTTTGCCCTCAGCCACCGGCCCTGAGCCACCAGCAGGCTCCCATTGGCTGCCGCCCGCCTGCACCACCGGTGGCCGCACGGCTGGCCTCTGGCGAACCCCCGGCCAGCCTGCCCAGCTGGGACGACATCGCCCAGCATCTCCCCCTGGAACCCTCCCCCCATCTCCAGCGGCGGACAGGCCCAGTCGACAAACCTTAGAATGAGGCTGGAAGGGGTGTGCCGTCCTGTCGCCAGTGCAGCCACCGCTGACAGCACTCTGTCTTCGCCCGCCCGCCCGCCTGCCATCGACTTGAAGCGCTCGCCGTCGCCGTCGCCTTGCCGCGCCTCCCACTGAACCTCGCCTCACCGCACCGAGGCACGCAAAACAGTCAGACCAGACATCTCTGACGTGAAACGCAACATGGGAACATGGGAAAGCCGTCGACCCACCTGTTGGCGGGGTGAGAGGGCGGCAGCGCACCGCGTCATTTGCCTCTGGGTCATGTGAGCAAGACTGCTGGTTTCACCTGCATCCCTTTGGTTTCGGAAGCCAGACGACTTGCCAGCCCCCAAACTCAATAACGACAAGTTTGTGGGTTTCTTCAACATGCTGCCTGCTTACTCGCAGTCACACCCTTTGGCCATGTCCGCATCTCTCTTTTCTTTTTCTCTGGCGCTCCTACATACACGGACCCGAGCCCGCCCATCCTCCGCTGCTCCCGGAACCCCATCCCGTCCTGCTGCACCACGTGTGTTTCAGTTGCCAACGCGAATGCGATTCGTGCACCCCTGTGGCGATCCATCGACTTGCCTCACAAAAGGGCACGTGCTTACTCGATATTCGCTTTCCCTTCAATCCGCCCGGCTCATCCAAAGTGTTCACTCTCGCATGTTCCGTACAAATATCCCCTCGAGCCACTAACGGACCAGGCCACTCCCGGCCGGCCCCCATTCCATATTATTCTGCTTTCCACATCACCGTTATACTTTATCATGAACACGCTTCTCGAACATTAGTTAATGACAAGTTTTATCTGGTAGGGATTGAAACTACAGTCAGCATGACATCCTTCACCTCCCCCATCAAGCAACTAACGGTCCGCCTACCAAACACGTGTTTTAATATCACACAATACGCTATTATTAGCCGCTCGGCATGGTTCCCTAAATCACCGTCGCTAGGTAACTACGCTTTTGTTTTTGTTTTTGCGCTATGGTCAAAGACCGAGCATAGGGCAGCGACTATTCAAGACACTATCGAATCATCTCTTACCCCCCTGGCAAGTGCTGCTATTAGCACTGTGTAAAGTATTGTACACGTTACTTATCTGCAAGGATATTGATATTGTTCCGAGTGTCGTCATGGCAATAAGAGCTGTGAGTGACACTGTTGGGTCTATCCCTACAATTTTGCATGGCTTAATTCGCCCACTTTAAAGGAGATGCGTAGAGTACCTAGCGAGGGCAGGACGATCATTCTAAATCCAAGACGTGTCTGAAAATCCCGGGAGGCTAGAATGATCTAGGGCGTTACGATGGAGACCTCTTTACCTTGTCTACTACTTATATATTAGGACAACCGTCGCATGTAGTCAGCCCCGGCTGCTCGTGCAGACCTGTTCTGCTACAGTAGACTAAGATTAGATAGCTCTACGCATACACGTCCATAGTACATCGTCTCAGGATAATTACAAGATTATGTAGACAATCTTGCGAAATCACCACTCCCGGCACATGAGATGTTCAGTCTCGCGCAGGTGAACATGAGCGCAGCGCTAACCACCCAAAAGCCGCCAAGTCCCAATGCGGCATAGCGCGCCCACTCGAAATTCGCTCGCTTCAGAACATCGCAAAAATCCGACGACGACTTCTCTTTTCGCGACAACTAACCACCCAGGTCAATTCCCAACAGCCACCATGTCGAGGCCAACCGTCACCGTCGTCTCTGCCAAGGGCGAGGTCACCCAGGACACCATCCCCGTCCCCAATGTCTTCAAGGTCAGTTCCACCGTCGCACTTCGAGACCCGCGATACGATGCAACCGGCAACCCGACGAACAGATTGAGAGAGAAGCTACAATGAATGCGTATAAACGAGGAATTTGCAATATTGGACACTCGGCTGGAAACCCCATGCATGTATTGAGCTGGATCATTCATGGGGTGCTTGCGGCGCCATGACGAAAACTTTTGGGTTCCGCAATCAATATGGCGCTCTCTCGATCTGCTCTGGTGTTGCACTGGGAGCATACAGTATCGTGCACCTAATTCACATATTTGATTCTGACGATCAGCAGGCTCCAATCCGCCCGGATGTCGTCCACGCGGTGCACACTGGCATGAACAAGAACCGCCGCCAGCCCTACGCTGTGTAAGCCTTCCTCGCAAGCTGCACCGTTGACTGATCTAACAACACGCAGCTCCGAGAAGGCTGGTCACCAAACTTCTGCCGAGTCCTGGGGTACTGGTCGCGCTGTTGCCCGTATCCCCCGTGTCTCTGGTGGTGGTACTCACCGTGCTGGTCAGGCTGCTTTCGGTAACATGTGCCGCTCTGGCCGCATGTTTGCTCCTACCAAGGTCTGGCGCAAGTGGCACCAGAAGATCAACCTGAACCAGAAGCGCTTCGCTACCGCCTCTGCGCTCGCTGCTTCAGGAAGCCCTGCTCTTCTCCTTGCCCGTGGCCACGCTATCAGCACCGTCCCCGAGGTTCCTCTCGTCGTCTCATCGACTGCTTTCGCCGATGCCGCCATCAAGAAGACCTCCGCTGCCGTCGCTCTCCTCAAGGCCGTCGGTGCTGGTGCTGATGTTGAGAAGGCTCGCAACTCGCGCAAGCTCCGCGCTGGTAAGGGTAAGCTCCGTGGTCGCCGCCACAAGCAGCGCCGTGGACCTCTTGTCATCTACAACCCTGATGAGGATGGCAAGGAGCTCGTCCTTGCTTTCCGCAACATCCCAGGTGTCGAGACCTCATCCGTCTACTCCCTGAATCTCCTCCAGCTTGCCCCCGGTGGTCACCTTGGCCGCTTCATTGTCTGGACTTCTTCCGCTTTCAGCGCCCTCGACAAGGTCTACGGATCCACCACCGAGCCCTCAGCGCTCAAGAAGGACTTCCTTCTCCCATCTCCCATGATGGTCCAGCCCGACCTCAGCAAGATCATCAACTCCAGCGACGTCCAGAAGGTCCTCCGCCCCGTCCGTGGCGGAGCCGTGACCAAGCGCAGCCACACCCAGAAGAAGAATCCTCTCAAGAACTTCCAGGTGCAGCTTCGCCTCAACCCCTACGCTGCTACCTTCGCCAAGGAGAAGCTTGGCCAGAAGAAGATCGAGGCTGGCAAGGCCGAGCCTGCCGCCGATACCTTCTACGAGCTGCTCCAGGATAACTAGATGGTTGTTGGTTAGCGTTATGATTTCCTAAGGTGTTCTCTCTTCGGCTGGGATGGACTGGAATGATGAATGGCTATGACAAATGTAGCTCTTCACAAAATACCTCATGAAAAGGTTGCTTCCATCTTTGGCTGAATAATGTCTTTATGCAACTGTTCGAGACTGTGATGACTCTATACCTGAATGCCTGTAGTTTATCTTATCGTTCATATCCCCTGGAGCTGTCTGGCGTTGTGTTTATCCATGTTTTAATTTTCCTGCGGGGTAGCTCACGCTTTGCAGAATTAAAATATTGTACTTGTGCAAAATGTTCTGAGAATTGTCGTGGTTAGCAATAAACTTGTGTTGCTAACATGGTGTACATTGTGATGCCAACGCCATATGTGTGTAATGATGTATCCCAAACGCCATCGCTATGCACGTAACAAAGATTTTCCTTTGTAGCTTTCACTTGAAGAGTCTCTTCCCACCCGTCCTGCCCATTGTCCTCTCCACGCCTTCCAAACTCATACCCGCAAAGCCCGCACCACCACCATCCCTATCCCTCTTGTACCGCCGGAGCGCCTCTCTCAAGTGCGCAGGCGTCAACGGACCCTTGTCACAAGCGCGCAATCTCTCCTGCAAACTCGCATTCTTATCCACCTCCTTCCATATACTCTGCGTGCGATCAACCTGGTTCAAGTACCACCCTGCACCCTGGATATCCGTATTCGTTGGTTTGTTCCGCTCGTCTTTGATGTGTGCGCTTGGTCTGCCTAGACTCTGGCTTAAGATGGGGCCGGGTAAGTCTGGGTTGGGCAGGTGAGTGCGTACGGCGGACCATTCGTCGCGGACGGTGAGGGCGCGGTCGATGAGCTCGCCGATAAAAGTTTTGGAGTAGGAAGTTACGGCAATGATGATGGGTTGGGGCACGGATTGCGAGAGGGTTTGGTTGACGAGTTTACGAACGGTTTCGCGCTTGAGGCGGATGCGGCGGTAGGTTGCGTAGCGGTCCATTTGCGCGGGGGTCATGAAGTCTTCTAGCATTCTGGAGTACCGTTGTGTTAGTAAAGGATCAGGATTGCTTTCTGTATGGCTTTTTGGAAGCAAGAGAATCGTACCGTTCGTATTCTTTTTCTTGTTTGCGTCGGGCTTCGACACTCATTCCGCCTTCGATCTCCATGCCCATTTCCTCGCCCATCTCGTCTTCGTCGTCGTCTTCTTCTCCTTCTTCATCTTCGCCTCCGACTGCACTCCTTCCATCACCGCTTTTGCCTCCTCTTACACTCGAGCCTGCCACGCTTCCACCATCGCCGCCCTTCTTACGGCGCTTCTTGCTTCCTCCAACACCATTGATAACTGAAGTCGTGATGTTGCTTTCTACCGATGGTGAGCGCGAGTATTGGCGTGGCGAGCCGCCGATGGATTCGGCATCGGGAGAGAAGGCATTGCGTAGATTTGAGGGCTTGCGCTTCTTTGATGGTGCGCCCGAGTGCGAAGATATGCTGCCACGCTTGCGGTTGCTGGACATGTTGAGCTGAGGGATGTGCGGTGGTGAGGCCATGGTTTTGTAGGTGATTTCTTTTTACTGCGAAGGCGCAATAATATCTCTCCGTTGAAGCATGCGCGCAGCTCCAAGAAGATGGAGCGGGGCGGAATGATGCTGGTGGTAGTCGTTTGATTAGTGTCGTCGCGACTGTTGCGGAGAATGGAATTGACCCGAAAGTCGCGACCGCCAAGCAATGTGGTTAGCGCGTTTGCTTCGTTCCGCTCAGAATGCGCCCGGCCTTGATTTCGTCATCGCCCCTAGCTGTACTTGCTCTCACTAGGAGATTTTCGGATTCAGGAACCCTATCGATAGGAGCTGCGCTTTGATCTTAAAGCTTGCTTTCACTAAGATCGCATCGTTGGGTGCGCCGTTACTATCTCACCTATACTTGAAGCAACACTGCACTTGAGCTTACATCACCTCTATCACCTCACTCTCAGTAGCAACACTCCAACGCTCAAGCAAGACATTATCTTTAGTACAATGAGAGATTTGTGAATACTTTGGTTGATCAACTCTTCAAATTGGTACTCTACTACAGCAGCGCCGACACGGCACGAATGTGCTGAGTAAGAGAGGATAGAGTTCCATTGTGAGAGCCGTTCTTCACAAACACTATACCATAGTTTACAGTCTCATTTTAAACAGACTGAGTGTGAACAGGTGACAGCTGAATCCAGTAGATTACACGTAAATGTCTGACATGAGAGATGCAGATGAGTCGTCTGCTGTGGACAAGGCAATCACTGTGTATGCTATCACATCGTAAGAAGGAGGATACACTGAAGTTTGAACACCGCAGGTATAGTAAAACGGAAAAAAGAGGTCTAATCCAGACTCTAATCGGGATGAAAGTGATCAAAATCGCTACAAATCAACCCGCCAGCTGTGTTCCAGGGCACTACACAAAACTGTCATATCAAAAAGTAAAAAGAAAAAAAGCTCGATTAAACTACACTTGCAAAGCAAAACTGCCCTATCGCTACAACATATATATATCTCAAAGCATTATCTTCCTCCTCCTCCAAAGGTATCAAGTCGTCACAGTATTACACTCACCCCCTACACATCTATTTCTTCGCGCCCCCTCCACCAACCCATCCCCCAACCCAACCCCCCGCACTCTTCGCACCCTCAGCCACACTCCCCGCACCCCCCTTCACCCCCTCCACAGCACTCTGTCCATACCCGCCCAAGGGTCCTTGTCCCTCAAGCGACCGTCCTTGCTCGTCCTTGCCGCCACGCTCAGCACGATTGATTCCTTCTTTCGATAAGGTGTCGCCGATGGGTTGTGCGAGACCGCCTTGGCCTACTTGGCCCGTTACGAGGCCGTTGACGCCGTCTTGGAGGTTGTCGACTTGCGAGATGCCGGTTACCTTTGTTTTGTCAAGGTTTTCTGAAGCGGGTGAATTAGCGGATTGTGCGGTGAAGGTTTGGAGGAAAGGAAGGAAGGGGGAAGGAGAACATACGTTTGGCGGCGTAGCTGGCCTTGTTATCTTTTGTGAACCATTTTAGATACTGGTCTTCGATCCAGGGCATCCAAGTTTCGTATTTTTGGTTGTAGTAGTCATTTGCGGCTTGCTTGTAGGTTTTTGGTTGCTGCTTGTTGTCTGTCATTTTGAATATGCTTGCGATGTGTTCAATAAGAAAGAAGAAAAAGATATGCGTCTTAGGTTGTCGTATATATATGGAATAGTATTGTAATATAGGTCGTGGATGGGTATCAGTTGTATTTCTTCACACAAGTGAACTAGAAAGGAAGAAAGGAAAACCCTCCGTTCAAACAAGCACACACCAGAATATATACTACACACAAGCAGCACCCTTCATCATACTCAAGACCAACCCATACAACCTTCCACCTTGGCCCAGCCAACCACACACCCCCACTCTCCCTCCGATGCCGTGTATACGACGCCATCCACGCCAACAGTGATCTCATCTCCGATCGGCCTGGCCTTTCTCGCACCGGAGGCCACCAGACAGGGGTGGCTACTAACAACGCATGCCAGGGTCCTTGATTCCAACTTTGCGAACCGGTTGCATGGGAACAAAAAAGAGGGCGTTGATGCGCGGCGTTGCGACAGGGTGGGTCCTACGTCATCTGAACCACTCGATTTCAAGGGATCTGACCCTCACCGAATGATCGTCCCGCGGTCGCCTGCAGCCTGGAAAACTTGCTGATTCATACAACCTGCTTGTCGGTTAGGTGATTTGCTGGGTTTTTGCGCTGGATACCGGTGGGTATGTGTGATGATGTGGTTGGGTAGTTGTGAAGGTCTTGAAGGGGCGGCAAATGGGAATGGGAAGGTGGGCGCGGGACGATGGGTGGCTGTGTGCGCCTAGAAGCGCGCCACAGCTGTAAGACATGTCTTGACGGCGATCGGAGTCGCAGGTAGCTAAGGCCAAAGTATGAGCGACATACTAGTAGTTTGGAAATGAGATATCCTTGTCTACTTTCACATGTTGGGCATCTGTATCTTCTACAGTATGATCAATAGTTTTATTCCGAAACTAAATACAACGCCGTGCTCCGCCAGTAAGGATGTGACTCTTCTACTCGGTCTGGTGCCTTGAACGCTAGTACTAGGTGGCCGGCAATAGCCATAACAACAAGACGGCTTGCAAAAAGCAAGGCCTGAGAGGCCCAACTTGTATACCGCAAGACGCAGCGATAAAAAAAATTACACAGTACATCCTTTTTTTTCCCGAGACAGTACACGCAATCCAAGTTGAAAAGAAACTACCTCCGTTATAAATTTCCCTCAAACCAGTCGAGCAGTAACAAAAAATATTTTGCCAGTGGGCTGCTTCAGACGCGTCTATCAATCTCTTCTTGATCGCTTTCGGCATCGGATGGTATGGGCGAGTTTGTAGTCCTCTGTATGCCGTCAGGGGTAGACTCTTCGTGAGTGATTCCAGGACCGAGAATGCTACCACCGCCGTCTTCGTCTTGGTCATGGTTAGTATCCCCATCAGCATAAATCTCCTGTGGATCAGGCGATAGCGCCAAGACTATAGTCGTCTCGCTCAAGCAACTTGCTCGGCTACTGCCGCTATCACTGCAGTTTTCGAGCATTTTATGATTCTAATCTTCTAGGGAGGCAGGCCAGTCTACAGGTGTTTCTGGTCGGCGCGGTATTTCGAACTCAATAACCGGGTGGTCATCTAGTTCAACACATTCGCCACGGATGGCCTCATGGTCATGGTTGTATGCAAAAAAAGGAGCATCAACGATGGCTTTCCAGCGGGCAATCCTCTTCTGTATTTCGCGGCGAACTAGGAATGAGTGAAACTGATTTTTGAAATCCAGCGGGAAGTCTTCACACAGTTCAAGAGAACACTCGTTTTCCTCACCACGCGACTGATGAAGTTTGATGCGTCTGATCAGCACTTCGGTCATCTTGTACACGAAAGGTCCACAGGCACCATCATCGTAGTCGAATTGGTTGTGGTAGTTCTGATGCGGGGTATACTGTTGGATCCGATATCGCCAATTTTTGACATCTTCTTGTAGGATTTTCAGCATGCCTCGACCGATTTGGAAACCAAGGTGTCGAGATTGTTCGTCATCAAGAAATAGAGAATCGTAATACGAGACTGTATAATGTATTCTGTCGATGGCGAGAAGCGACCAGTGATTTCCTTGCAAGCAATCGCTCTCAACGCCACCGATTGCATCGTTGATAACAAGAAAAATCCATGACTTGTTCTCGAAGCGGGCTCTATACTGAGAGTACTCCTGGGGACTGCTATCTTCACTTTCTGCAGCGAAAAAGCATATTTGTGAGACCATGGAGTTGGCGATTGCGATTCCATGATTTTCACAATTGTAATCTCGACAGAGGACTTCCAGAGCCATATCTAGACTTTCGTCCCGCATCCAAGGCTCGCCATGGTTCCAGCTTGTACTCCTGATATGGCAGAAAGAATCGTTTTGAATTGTAACATCCCCCAGCCTGAGATACACGTTGGAATCAAATGGCGGGTTCAATTGAAATATTGTGCAGAATGCGGAATATCGACCAGGATGGGGAACAAAACTCCAGTGGGAAAGGATGGGTAGAGGTTCCAAGTCGAAAGATCCGTACTGACGAAGCGGACGCTGTTGCACGTTAGCACATTGCTTAGCTACTTTTCCAGGTGAATGAACTATGCGAACCTTGATCTCTGTTTCTTTCCAGTCCATTGCGAAGCAGGTGCCCCAGTATTCGCTAGTATTGACATCGATGCTATACCGCCGCTTCAGCAGTGGAGGCCTCGTCTGCCTTGTAGGTAGTAAATTAGCGCGCTCGAATCCCCGTGAACCTAGCATGAACATCCTGTAAGTCTTATAGCGCATGCTGTGTCGTGTATTTTCGAAGATTTTGGAGAGCTCGAAGCGCTCATGCTTTGCTATTCTAAGTTGGTTATACTTTGCAATAGGGGAAACCACTTGATCAGATGACCGAGTCGTAGTAGCTGTTGTACGAGCCTTGGGACTCTCGAGCTCAGATAAAGATGCCGAGGACTTCTTTCTATCCTGAGGGGGAGTACCTGGTGGCGTCATGGACGTTTTGTCATCCTGATCCTGGCTTGGGGGTGGAGTGAGCGAAGTCGCGTGAGGGACAGGTGTATCTTCTTGTAATTGCGCTTTTGTTTCTGGAAATCCCTCAAGTTCTGAAACTACAGAAATCTCAGTCACAGGTGGCCAGTAGGTTTGAAGTTGTGCCTGGACATGTGCTTCAGTGTCCCTGAGCGAGTCATCACCCAACGCTGGCGTGCTCAAGTCGGAACAGGCGTTTTGAGTATTTCCAAGGGTCGTTATTTGGGTGCTTTTGCCTGGTTCTGAGCTTGCAGACTCTAGCGCTGTATGGGATATTGGCTGAGGTTCGGCATGGACGTGCAGTGGGAAGGATGGTGTTGGTGAAGAAGGTGCGACCTGCATAGTGACCTGTGTCGGGTTGCGCTTGTCGGGTTGTTCTTCTTGCATCTCCATGACATATTGAGGTATTTCTTCGACCATCGTATCGTTAGAAGAGGTTGGAGCGCTGGTTACGTTGTAAGGAATGGCGCTTTGTGCGAAGAAAGTGATTGTTGGTACCTGACAAGTCGACCAGCGCTGCCTGGAGATATACTAGAGTGGATACGAACAGTTTTTTCTGAGGCGGGTTTGCTGCGGTGAAAGTGGAAGTCGTATGCGGGTTTGCGCCGGTAGTGAATGATGGCAGGCAGTGGCTAGGCTGGGAGACAGTGTTTGTTGCTGTCGAGACAGAGGACTGGGCGCTGAGGAACAAATAATCGATAATCGAGGTCTAGGTAGGTACAAGGCTTTAGTGAGAGGGAAGCTTTTTGTACTGGTGATCGAGAACAAATGCGTTATTGTGGGGGAAGCAAACTGTATTCCAACACAGCACACGTAGCTGCATTCACGGTTGAAGTAGCGAGAGTTGAACAGTGAGAGGGCCAGGAGCAAATAATCACTCTGACGTTTTTCTTTTTACATTGTGCAAATATGTGTAAGTCAATCTATCAATCTATTTAGATTTGATTATGCAAGCTCGCTGATTTCCCAGTCTCTAGGGGCATCCACAGTTGAGGAAGCTATAGAGTGCCGTGATTATGTACCATCAGGTCACTCCGCTATGGTCCCTATATTACGTCACACCAATTATATTCGCGAGAAATCGTAAAATGATGATCATGATTCGGGCTATTGAGCGATTATGTGCACGGCGTGTACAATGTAAGTGATATCACTGCATGTGTCTTTGTGGTACTGAGAGTGAGAACCAAGGTACCGAGCTTCCTCCCAAGTGAGAGCCGCCAAACGCCTGCTCTGCGCATTACTCGTGAGAGACATGCATTGAAATAAGGTTGCAGTTGCCTTGTAGTATCCAGATGCATGATCGACATTTTGACAATAGCCCTTGTTCATACAGTCATTCCATGTAGCAACAAGGTGACAAAGCGCTTGCCCAACTTGAAAACATCGACCGTATCATGGTCCAATCGCCTGCGAGAGAATTCAGAGAGAGGGAAATTGCCTCCCAACACACCCTCACCCACACCAGACATACGCAGATGAGCACAGCAAAATAATTCTCGAAAAAGGTGATACTATTTACAAGTGCAAAGAAAAGTGCAAAAGATACGTAGTGGTATATAAACTATCAAGGAAAAAAATCACACACACAAAAAGAGAACAGGAAAACACACCGAACGGTCATCAACTGTGTGAAGAGAGTGTCGGTGACGGAGGACCAGCTGCGCCTACCGCGCATGATAACCCTCGATGACTCTTGGATAACAAGCACTCAGCCAACCCCCCCTTATATAGTTCATGCTGCCAAATGCCATAACGACTTTTCGGCGCCTATACAATCCCCACAGATGCTCCTTGAAGATGCTGGGAAAACAAAGAAAAAGTAAAAAAGAAAAGAAATCGACGACAAACATTCCGTATCTGTTTTTCCAGGAACATGTTTGTAACACTGCTGCATCCGCTCACTCTGAGAATTCTTCTCAGGTATTTGCCGCGTGTGAAAATCAAGCTTTTGACTGACCCGCATTTCTATATCATGCCATGCCTCCAACGTCCGCTCCGTGCTAGAACTGTGTATGGAGCTTCTAGTCTACTTACTCTCCAGTGCTGGATCCTCTCAGCCTTCTACCAAGGCTGACATTGCGACCGAGATCCGTTATGCCACCCACTGAGTGTCGATTGCTCGGGTTTCGGGCGACGCTCAATTGCGTTCTAGCTCGTAGACCGGCGGACAAGGGCTTCTCGAAATGGGCTGGAGATCCTTCTCGGCCTAGATTGTGGCCGAAACGATTCTGGTCACGGAACAAGAGACTGTGCTCATGCGACGGTGTACTGCTCGAAACACTGGGCCGACGAAGGTGCGATGTCGTCTGAATAGCAGGCGATGGCTGCAAATCAGACATTGGCTCGCGAGAACCAATCTGCCGACCGGTGCTGTACCGGTTGCTCTCATTTTGTTGCTGCCGCGACCGGAAGTCAATCGACGTCATTGCACGAGATGGTGCGCGGAATAGAATTGTGTCATCGTCATCTTCCTCGGCACTCTTGCGTGCACGATGAAGACTTGTGCCTGCTCGCTGGAGTCGTGACGCGAGGTGCCTGTCGTCGTAGGGCTCTTGACTGCTTTCTCGTTGATTACCCCCAGTTCCAACGGCAAGCATACTGCTCCTTCGAGCCTCTATGCGAGACATTGCTCTACTGGGACTAACACCAGACAATGTGTTGCTCTCGGGTTCGATACTTTCTCGTATGGTTGGTGACTCGCCGTTGAACTGGACGCTTGGCCGACGAGAAAGTGTGGCTGTACTTGACCGAAAAGCAGGGCTGGCGAAGCCTGTCTTGGTGTCACACAGAGCTATACACAGCTCGGTCAAACTCCGGCAAAGGTTGTCAGCTTTGCGCCGAACTTGGCGGTCAGACACGACTGCACCATTAGCGATGGTGCTTGCCGAATGAAGTGTGCCCTGCGGGCCAGCACTGCCGCTCATTTCAGCGAGTGCTAATGCCTCCTGTGCTGTTGCTTCCAACGTGCGATACACTGCTGGTGATATGTGTTGTCGGGCTTTGGCTAGCGCCTCCCTCAACAGCGGATGGGTTTTGTTGTTACTGTTGTTATTATTGCCGTTAGGGGTAAGAGCACCAACTGTAGAGTCAGACGGAGACAGGTTCGCCTTTCGCTGTTGGTTTGGCGATGAAGATACAGTTGTAGCTGAAGTATTCGCTGTCCGTGGGCGATCTGCCGATGCTTGAGATACGATTGCGCCCGACGTTGAAGGTATCTTGCCTCCCATTTCAATCTTGCGTATCCGGGACTTGAGTTCATCCAGCTCGTCCCATACAGACGCTGCAGGTCCCGTGGAGCCATGCGATTCGGTACCGTCGGCGCGCGAAGCAGCTTCAAATGATGTCTCTATGTGGGGTGTGCGTGGTTCATGGGAGAGATTCGATGGCCTATATGGCTGGAGGGGTGTGCGACTTGGGGGTGTGACGTCTGGCTGAGATGCGCGCCTTGTTGAGGAGAACTGGGCCAGGAAGTCGCGTGGTGAGAGATCCGAATCCCTCCGTACAGAACTCAAAGATGCCTTGTGCGATAGTTGAGGCGTCCGGTGTGCTGATTCAGGTGCTGGCGAATTTTGGGACCGCTCATAGCGGGACGGGGTGGGCAGGAGCGAACCCCGACGGAGACCGCCTGGCCTGGCGTCTACGACAGAGGGTATACGACTAGAGGTTGCCGTGGCAGAGCTTGACTGCGACGGCGAAGGTGTCTGTAGAGCTGATGGGTACGACTGTCGTTCATTTATTCGGGCGACTCGAGACTGTAGTGGTCAGCTTCCTGTACATACTGTTGACGGCGCATGGGGGACAGATGGTTCAGCTATACTGGGAAACCGCCAGAGTCGAGCGGCCATAGTACGCGCATGTCGCTGCAATCCGAACACATCTTGAAGACTGGGTGGTCTCACCTTCAACCGGTCAATCCGCGCCGTGGTCTCTGCTGGGCGCTGCTGCTGTTGCTGCTTGGGCGCACTATCCGCGGCAATATTTAGGAACAGGTCCTCCTTCTCGCCATCTGTGCCTGGAGTCACGGGCGCAGGTGCTCCCCGTCCGCTGTGCGCCGCATGGTAGTCCTCCATCCGGCTGCGGGGTCCAGAATCGTATTCGGACGACTCGGTGGAGCTGGCCATTCGTCGGGGCGGAGGCCGGGAGCTGGCGGTGGAATTGCGTCTGGGGGCGGGCGGGCGCAGGAAGCTTGGGGACGCCGTGGTGCTTGTTTGTTGTGGTTGCTGGTGGTGTTGTTTTTGCGGGGGACCGTTCCAGTTGCCTGTTTCTTCCTCCCCGCGTCGCTTGCTCAATGGGGTCGGGCCAGTGTGCGATGCCAGTGCGGTGGGAGAGAACTGCTGGTGCGCATAGGTGAGATCGGCGGGATTCTGCGAGCTCCGACTGCGCGTAACTAGGGTGACGGGAGGGCCGCGCGAATTGTCTATGCCATGGGCACTATGGGAGGCCGGGGGCCGACGTGCGGCAGCGGACGAGGTCGAGGTGGTCGAGGGCAGACGTAGCAGGCTCGGGGGCTCGGGGTTTGTGTTTGTGCGCTGGCGTGTGGGCTTGGGGGTGGGCGACGTGTGCGCGGTCAGCGTGTTGCGCCGGGAGGGGTCGTGTTGTTGTGGTTGTGGTTGACGCTGCGGCGGCGGGTGCTGGTTCTGCTGCTGGTATTGTTGTTGTAAGGCTCCTCCAGACGATTTCCGAGAATGGGTCGGCATAGCTGCAGGAATCCAGGTGCGCTGGCACACACCAGACAGGGATGACGGGCAACGTTTCAGAGCGCACACTCAGCCTGCCATGGCTGCTACGAAGGGGGCCCACAGACTGCGCGTACGCCTTGGTAAATTGCACATGCTCCCTTTGCTGTTCAAAGGAAGATGCTGGGACGCTGCGGCGCTGCATATGGCCAGTATTCTCGACCTTGGCCCATTTGCTGCTAGGGTGGCCAGGCCTTTACACGACATGGCACATTGCCCCCTCAAGAGAGCGAATGATGTGCAGCCAGCCCTATGCTATACCCGTCGCCCACCACCTATAGCACCCGCTATACCCGCCCTCTGTTAAGTAAACTTTTCCACCGCCTCCATCGTTGAGTACCAGCCCGGGAGGGACCGTGTGCTCAACGTCCGGACGGGCGGCAGCGGCACCACATCGCCATCTACCCAGCGATTGCACGCTGCTGCTTATAACTGCAACCCTCTCCTACGCTGTTCCCATCTGCGGGCTGACTCGCCATCTCTCGTTCTTAAATGAGCTTCTGCTCACGGCTAATCTTACCCTCCTCCTGAACGAAGCACACACCGCTGCTTCTCCAACATCTGCTTTCTTTTTGTCCCGTCCCATCTCGAGGCGACAAGCGAAGCCGCATCGAGCGAGCGCTGCAGGGTGGCTGTCATGACCAACCCTGTTCCTACGTTCGCTATCCCCAGGCAGTGATGCCATCCACGGAGCGCATAAGCGAGCTGGCACGGCCGATATGACACTGATGTTTCTGGGAATTTATGCTTTATGCAAGCCTGGTAGTGCAGTGTGTATAAAAGGAGATTGGTATTGGTGTAAGAGGCAGACGCCAAACAAACCCTTGGTCCGTTTGTAGTACGCGTACTCGTGATATGAATCCAGAAAAAACATGATACTTGGCACAGAGTGACTGGCTGCGTGTGAATGCACCAGGGTGGAGGCCCAGTGGGAACTCCGGTGAAGGCTCGAGGCATATCTCCATGGCGCCTCGCGCCATCCTGCCAGGCTCCAGATCACGTGACGCGGTTCCGGCAGAACAAGCCCGCCGACGAGCCCGATGAAATAATCTTGTCTTGCCATCGCCTCCACCCAGGCACATCTCTACGGTCGCGATACCCAACTCTGTCCCCCCATCTACATCAAACATGTCCGTCGCGACGCTGTCTAAGTCGCTGCCCAAGCCGAAATATTCGGGTGAGGAGGAGGAACTCACCAACAGCACGCGTGTGCTGAGCTCCGAGCAGTACGAAGCGCAGGTCGCACGAAAGCAGAATGGCCCACCCGCATACGGTAGCAGGCAGAGTTGGCGGCCCCGCGCGCCAGAGGACTTTGGTGATGGAGGCGCGTTTCCAGAGGTTCACGTCGCGCAGTATCCACTGGACATGGGCAAGAAGGGCACACCATCCACATCCAATGCCCTCGTAAGGAGAGTCGACGGCGAAGGCAAGACCAAATACGATGAGATTGCGAGGCGCGGGCACGGCGACTCAAGGATCGTACAGGCGAGCTTCAAAGATTTGATCCCGCTACGTCAACGGGCAGATGCTGGCGAGCTGGACTTGTCGCGTCCGAGCCAGGAAGTGGTACAGGCAACGAAGGAGAAGACAGAACAGGCACTCATGGCCCTGGTAGCAGGACAAACTGCTGCACAGCGACCAAAGAATGTACAGGGCCGGAGAGACGATGAGCCGACCTTTGTGCGATACACTCCGACCGCACAGATGGGCGAGGCCCAGGGAAAGACGCGCATCTTCAAGATTCAACAGCGACAGATCGATCCTATGGAACCACCGAAATTCAAGCACAAACGTATCCCTCGTGGGCCGCCATCTCCTCCGCCGCCCGTTCTACACTCTCCGCCGCGAAAACTGACCGCCGAAGATCAAGAGATGTGGAAGATTCCGCCTCCCATTAGTAACTGGAAGAACCCCAAGGGTTACACAGTGCCTCTAGATAAGCGTCTGGCAGCTGATGGGCGGGGTCTCCAGGACATCACAATCAACGATAAGTTTGCGCAATTCGGCGAGGCCCTACAGGCTGCAGACAGGCACGCTCGAGAGGAAGTCAAGCAGCGCGCCATCATGCAACAGCGCTTGGCAGAGAAAGAAAAGCTGCAAAAGGAGGAGCACCTGCGCAACTTGGCAAAACAGGCTCGAGAAGACCGTGCGAACGCCTCCCGAAGGCGATCCCAGAGCGATTCAGAAACAGACTCGGAGGAGGAAGAGGTGCGGAAGCGAATGGATGCGCGCAAAGAGCGTCGCGAAGATTTGCAGCGTGAACTCCGCCAGTCGCGCATGGGCAATGAGCGCAAGATTCAGATGCTTGCTCGTGAACAGAACCGTGATATCTCAGAGAAGGTTGCTCTTGGTCTGGCTAAGCCAACGCAAAGCGGAGAGTCCATGTACGATGCTCGGTTGTTTAACCAGTCAAGTGGATTCAATGCTGGTTTCAACGAGGACAACCATTACGACAAGCCTCTTTTCGCCGCTCAAGACGCAATAAGCAGCATCTACCGCCCGAGTGTACAACAGGACGATGGAGAGGATGATGGACAGACGTACGACAGGCTCACAAAGACGAGCAAATTTGAAGTTCTGGGCAAGGCGAAGGAAGGCTTCAAGGGTGCCGATCTACAAGAAGCTCGAGATGGGCCAGTCCAGTTCGAGAAGGATACCGACGACCCTTTTAACATTAATCAGATGATTGACGAGGTTCGGGGCGAGAAGAAGGGTGAAAAGCGATACGGCATCCAAGAGCCCGAGGGCAGGTCAACAAAACGAGCCAGGGTGGATGATGACAGTGATTGAGCAACCTAGGGTATTGCCATAGGCGTTTGGACTTTTTTGATGCAGTACAGATTACTGTTGCAATATTTCACGAGCATTGGAAGCGATCACAGAGACCGAGTTATCTGGTTTTTTTTTAATATTCAATGTCTGAATGTGCACCAAACCTTCCAACATAGCGGAGAATAGCCTTGAAAACGTGCTGGGCAATATGTGCATGTCCCTTGGTCGATCGGTGAAACCGGAAAACCCAGGCCAAGCGGACTAGCCCACCAAAACGAGCAGCCTTTACTACCAAATATCAGCACCATGGCAATATGATTTTCAACAAAACTTATACCGGACAAATACGCTAACTTGATGTTGACGATACCCAAGTGAATGACAAGTATGTATAATAATACTGGTGGTGTTGGACCATCTTTGACTTTATCGGCCAACTGAGAGCATGTCTAGCATTACCCTTGACGTCAACCAGCAACCCCATTCATGGTTGCTGAGCTGATGCTGACTACCAATCTCGTATTGCACCTATTGGCATTCGCCGGCTAACTGTAACTTTGGCATCGGATGGTGCACCTGGCTCGGATATTTGCTATCCCTGGCGTAAACTCCTGTCGGTACTTTGCACAGCATCACTCTACGACCCCACCATCCAATATTGTCCCGTGCCGCGCTGTGGCGAGTACATATCTGTCGACAACTTGGTAGCTATCTGCATCTGGTTTGCGCTGGTGTGCATAAGAGCCGCCGATATGTTGCCGGTTGGCGGGTCTTGATCACGTTTCATTATTTGCTATCAGCTTACTTACTTCGGAGTTGGTCTCGCCATGCAAAGCAATTGCAGCACTTATTTGAAGACGCCACATCTCTTGATCTGCATACACTAGCATTACATACTATACAAACCACCAAGACAAGATGAGTGAAAGAAATTCAGCAGTATCTGGTAACAAGGAACACAAGTTCAACCCAAACTTTACGGATGCAGTGATCAATGCGACAGGGCCCAATGCTACTCCTAGGGTCCGACAGCTCGCGGCGGGGTTGATACGGCATCTGCACGATTTCGCGAGAGAGAATGAGCTCACAGTTGATGAGTGGATGGCAGGTGTACAGCTGGTACGTCTAGACGTCTTCTTAGGCTACGCATCTAGCCTGCACCCTATCTAACACATACTGCGGGTGGACAGATGAACGAAGCAGGTCGCATGTCCGACTCTAAACGCAATGAAGGTCAGCTGATTTGCGATGTTCTCGGCCTTGAGTCTCTTGTCGATGAGATAACGTACAAGCTCGCTTCCACAGCTGCAGATGAACCTACCGCTACCGCTATCTTGGGCCCCTTCTACCGAGAAAACGCACCGGAGCTACCCATGGGGTCTTGTATCGTTTCAAAGGAAATTAACGAACAAGGCGACCGTACTTGGATGCATGGAACAGTTACCGACCTCAAAACCGGAGAGCCCATTGAAGGTGCAGTGGTAGACGTCTGGCACACGGCACCAAATGGCCTGTATGAACAGCAGGATCCCAATCAACCAGATATGAACCTTAGGGGAAGGTTCACAACTGGAAAGGATGGGACGTATAGCTTTTACTGTTTACGGCCTGTGCCATATCCTATTCCTTTCGATGGTCCGGCCGGAAAGGTTCTACAGGCGCTTGACAGGCACCCAATGCGACCGGCACATATACATTTCTTGCTTACGGCGCCTGGCTACAAGCCTATTGTTACGCAAATTTTTGACCGCAAGAGCAAGTACCTTGACGATGATGCCGTCTTTGCAGTCAAGGATTCACTCGTTGTAGACTTCAAGCCTTTCGAGGGTGATCCGAAAGCAGATTTTGAGCTGCCGTATGACTTTAAGATGGCAAGCTTCAAGGATGCGGAGAAACACTCCGTTGCGGGGACGACAGAGGAAAGTGCCTAAGTACAACAATGAAAACATGCTCTTTTCTGTAAAACTCCAGCATATCTTTAGTGACGCTCTTTCGGCGTGACATTCGAGACAACCAACGTTTTTCCGTGCTCCGAGTGTGCGTGTGCTCCGAACCCAGCTGATGCATTCCGATGCAAGGCCGCTCCCCGCTCCCCGCACTACGTACACTATCAACTAACCGTCTCCAACCGACCCGCGGTTGTCAATCATTACGCCCTACGCGCCCTAGCTCGAAACTACTTGACCCTTGTTGTTGTTGTGTATTTATTTCTAGTTGTGTATTATTCTCGTCGTCATCCAAGACACTGCTTACATACATTGTCACACCGAAGTCTTTGCGGGGTCAAATTTACGGTACGTTTGCTAGGGTTACTACCGACTACGTATCACGCCCTAGTACAACACTCTTAGGCCAACGCACTAACAATCTGCAAGAGAACCATCCAAAGAGAACCGAAACATTGCCAACTTTGCAGCAACATTAGAGCAGAGCAATAGCTAGACGTACCCATCATGGCGGAAAACAAAATCCCCCTCGGGCGTTACATGTGGGAACGTATCCATCAAATCGGTGTTGACACGATCTTCGGTGTACCAGGCGACTTCAACCTCCAATTTCTCGACCAAATTTTCCACGTCGATGGCCTGAAGTGGACTGGCAACCAAAATGAGCTGAATGCATCTTATGCTGCAGACGGCTATGCCCGCATAAAGAATGTCCCCGGATGTTTTGTCACCACTCATGGTGTCGGTGAATTAAGCGCACTGAATGGTATTGCGGGCAGCATGTCTGAGAACGTAAAGGTCATACATGTCGTTGGGCAAACTACGCGCGCAATGCAGAAGAATCATATGATGATTCATCATAGCATTGGCTCGAAGCCAAATCACCAAGTATACAACAAGGCCAGTGAGGGGTTACGATTTGCCGCTGCAGAGCTCTGGGACATTGAAAATGCACCAAGCGAGATTGACCGCGTACTCCGAGAGTGTGTGATCAAGAGCGGGCCAGTATACATTTTCTTGCCGTTGGATCTAAGTGCCGAGTTGGTGGACAAGAGTTTACTGGACAAGAAGATCGATCTGGCCCCACAAGTCGATGAGAAGGCACAGGAGAAGGCAATCAATGCCATTACCAGTGCGATTGCCGAGGCCAAACAACCAACAGTCGTAGTAGATGCGCTTGTGCACCGGTTCGGTGCCATTAAAGAAGCCCAACAGGTAGTCAAGAAGCTTAATGTTCCGTTCTTCTCAACAAACATGGGCAAAGGCATTGTTGACGAGACCGAAGAGACATTTGTTGGCGTATGGAATGGCGAGGTCAGTACTCCAGGTGTCAAGGAAGTTGCAAAAGCAGCTGATCTCGTCATAACGCTGGGATATGTCCCATGTGATACCAACACGGCTGGTTTCTCGAGACAGTTGGACGAAAAGAAAGTGATCCACATTAACCCATTCGATGTTGTTGTAAGTCCACCCACTTATCAATATTTGCTCTCGTATTTACAGCATTTTGGTACTAACAATGAAAAAAAAACAGGTCAAGGGCACATCTTATCCGTCCACCTCCATACAACCGCTCCTCGCCGCTCTATCCGCTTCTCTCCCCTCACCAGCCCAACACTCAATAGCCAAGCCACAGCTCCCTCCTCCACGCACCCCTCTGGACGCAGACGCCAAGAACCTAACGCAATCCTGGCTCTGGCCCACGATGGAGGCCTTCATCAAGTCCGGCGACGTCGTCGTCAGCGAAACAGGTACCTCGAACCCCGGAATCGGCGACATCACCTTCCCCAAAGACATTACTCTCATAACGCAAATATACTACGGCAGCATCGGTTTTGCGACTGCAGCCACGCTTGGTGCCGATCTGGCAAGGCGGGAGCTAGAGGCGGCGAACAAGCGTAACAAGGGAAGGACGATACTGGTTACTGGCGACGGATCCATGGCATTGACAATTCAGGAGGTTGGCACCATGATCAAGGCAAAGTGCAAGGCTGTGATATTTGTCATCAACAACGAGGGATATACCATTGAGCGGTTGATCTGGGGTGCTCGACAGTGTAAGTATCATTCTTTTCCATCCCATGCCTCCATCTCGCATCTTCTTTAAACCACATATTCTTACAATTTCTAGCATACAACGACATTGTACCTCACAACTACTCTCACCTCCTCCCCTTATATCACCATCCAGATTCGGCCTCGTCGTTCCACCGCGCGGCAACAAAGGAAGAACTTACCGCTATCCTAGCGAAACCTCAGGTGCAGCAGCCCGAGAACGTGCAGCTTGTAGAGCTAGTACTGGACAAGCTGGACACGAGCTGGAAGCTCGGCACGGTACTGGCGTGGAGGAGCGAGGAGCACAAGGAGTATCTGACGCGAGAAGGATTCGTAGACACATATGGTGGATGGAGTCTTGAAGAAAAAGCCGGTGGGAACATAAAGTGGAGCTAGATATCTCCTTCCTCTTTTCTTTGTCATTCTCATATTCTTTTTTGTATCCCCCGAAAGATATGTCATACCCGTAGGTATCTATTCCACACATAGATGATATGATGAACAAGAAACCTATGCAAAGATTGCAAGCAAACAAAACCACACCACACAAAGCTCATACAGCACCAGCGGCGTCTTATCCCACATGGACATGACGGCAGCAAACCCGCATCTCAGCGGTATCATAGATGCCATCATACGCCTGTTTCCCTGCAGCGTGAAAATGAGTTGGTACCATCCCACTGCTATGGTACTGAGGCCTTTTCACACAGTTGGTGTTAGCAACTGGGGTGTTGAGAAAGGTAAGGGAGATGTTGTTATGGAGTATGGAGAGGGTGAAAAAAAAGGGTGAATTTACCGATTGATTGCAAGGCCCGATCCGAAGCTTCTACACCGGTGATGGCGGCGTATTCTTGCGTGTTGACGAAGCTGTATGCGCCGAGGGCCATGTTGACGAGGGAGTGCAGGATGAGGAGCATGCGGGCCATGCGGGAGAAGGGTGACATTTTTGCTTTCTTTCTTGGGATTGAATGAGGTGGGATAAGTGGTTATGCTTAGCTTTTAGCCATGTAACGAATGTCAATTGGGTGATTGGGGAATGTATCGTGGCGATTAAATGTAGATGGAATAGTTGATGCTGAAGTATTGACAAGGTGATGAAAGAGTGGGTACCTATGTTTAGATAAGCGACTGGGATTTTTTCCTGTTGCAGGGCTTTTTACTTGGGTTAGCGCTAGCAAGCCAGATATGCTGGCAAGCTACCAATTCGAGATTGGCAATCTTGACGCCATTGGCGGGGGAGTTTTGAGTGCGTCCCTCGTCCGATTTCCATCACAGAGAATACAGGGCAGATAGTGAATAGAGACATGGTACACACAAAAGTGTCATTAATAATATTTGATACATGAATGAAAGGCATAGTTCATTATACAAACAAGAACGCCTCCATGAATGCTGTATAATGCCGTGTTCAACAGGTCGGCTAGAAGGAAGGCTGGCATAGAAAAAGCCGAAAAGAAAAACGCTGAAGAGTGCTAAAGCTTCGCTCGCCGGCAATGGGAATCAGTAGTTATACAAAAAATGAAGTAAGAAGATATAGTGATTATGCGCCCAGCGCTATAAGCCTGCTCTTGATGTCCGTTGGTCTCATCATCTGGTTGATGACCACACTAGACATGGCTCCCATGCTGACAAGGGAGACGTATCCTGGTGCAACCTCGCTCGCCAACACTTCCACACACTTCATTGCCTCGTCTTTTGAGATGGGAGTTCGGATGGAGCCTTGCAGGGCCTGTACAAGAGTGGTAGTAGAGAAAGAAACACGAGATCCAGGTTTACTGGCACAAAGGAGGGAGAGAACGCCAAGAACTTCTGGGGTACGTTGGAGTGCTGCTCTTCGTTGGAGCTCGGCAGGACTAGGGGCAGCGGGTCCAGCTTTGGCGGCTTCTTGTTTGGCGAGGATGCGGTCGAGAAGATTGGTTTTGCGAACGGCAGCGAATTCGGTGATCTTGGGTTGTGCAGGTTGAGTCTGCTGGGTTTGGCATGTAGTAGACTCGTTTTCTTTGCCTGTCGCTGGTCTTGTCTTCTTTTGTGCACGTCCTTGCTGAACACTTTCCTTGAACTCCCTCAATCGCTTACGTCCTTTCTCTTGTGATGGTGCAAGTGCGATAAGCGATCCGCATGTGGTGATCTCGGCAAGGGGAAGTTGGCTAAGGAACTTTGAGATGGAAGCGTCGTCGAGGAAAGTCTCCATAGTTGCTTGGTTGACATCGGTCTTCTTTGGGCGTCCCCGTCCGCGTTTGGGTACGGCAATAGGCCGAGTCGACATCTTCTGCGATGCACACCATTGCGACCACAATGTGTCTAGGCCCTCCTTGAACATTTCTTGCAGGCCTTGTTCGTTCATGTGCGTCATTCCGTTCATCATTGGACTGCTCTCCTTAATCTCAATGCAAATCTTGCCGCGGCCATAGTCGGATAAGTAGTAGGGATTGTTGGCGCCAGAAGGGCCGTGGTCGAGGATACCGATGAGCAGCCGGACGTCATCGTAAGTGACCTTGCGCTGGCGCCATACCAGAGTCGTAGATGCAGTCAAGGCCTGGAGATCTGCGGGTGTCGAGATGCCGTTGTGCGCGTAATGCAGTGAGAGGGCAGTCAGAAAGGACGAGTGGAGTGCGAGAAGGTTGACGAGCTCGGCCGGAAGCTGGCCAGGAGCAATGGGCGACATTGTTGAAGATAGAGGTGAGAATGGTACGGCAATAAGATACGTGGATCAATATCGATAAGAAATATGCCGTGCGGGCGTCACTTTGTGGTGCAAAGGAGATGGGGTACAGTATATGAGCAGAGGGGGTATGTAAAACAGGGAAGGGAGAGGAAGGAAGGAGACACGCTCGACGCGTTGCGCGTTCGCGTCGCGTAACTAAGGCCCCACCTATTTGAAACCCAAACGAGCAATTGCCCCGCCCTATGGCAGCGCGTCCACCACTCATTCTTCTCCATACACGTCTGGACAATGACGCGCTGAGTTAGACAATGTTCTCTGCTATCGAATGATATCATGTTCTTCTTCTTCTTCTTCTTCCCGCACTTGCACGCAAACGCCATGCAGCCGGTCTCTCGTACACACGCGAACCACTACATGACAGGAGAACCAACAGTGGTATATGTATGAGTATTACATTATGCTACTGAGATGAAGGAACTGACGCCCATATACTCCAATGCTCATGCAAAGTGCCAGAAGGATGCTTCTGCTCTCTTCTGGTCTTACCATCACCACACCAACAGCACGCTCATGCCTCATGCTTTACTTGCTACCACCAAACCAGCCGCCGAACCAGCCCGTTGCCTTTGCCGCCTTGTCCTCGACGACGGCATCAAACTTGTTCGCTGCTGCGTTAACCTGCTTGCCGGCTTGGTGTAGCTCTTGTTCAGCAAGCGCCTTTGCATGCTCGTACTGCTTTTTCGCATCGGCGCTGTAAGCATCGAACTTCTTCTCTAGTCTGTTCGCCTCCCCTTTGGCTTGGTCGGCCTGGTCGAAGTTAGGGCCATGTTGCAAACAGGATGAGACTATTTCAAACTTACGTATTGCTGTGCGCTGGCGCGTACTGCCTCGTAACCCTCCTCGGCTGCCTTCTTCGCTTCTTTGTCCTGGCCAGGGTAGTCACCTCTCAGTCTGCGCGCAGCAGTCGCCGCATCGTCTATGCATCAGTCAGTTTGCGCTTTGTTCAAAGCGAAGCTCAATGACGTACGTTCTACTTTCTTCTCAGCAAGCTTTGGGTCGCCTCCAGCGTTGTAGAGATAGTAAGTCGCTCCACCAAGAGCAGTAAGACCACCGTAGGTTAGGACTTTACGAGACATATTGACTGAGATGATTGTTTTTTTTGGGAAAAGGTTTCTTGAATTTGAAGAGGAATTAGATTGTGCAAACTTGCAAATCAAAAATGAAGAATCAGCGCTGTTAAGAAAGAGGGGAAGGCTTTCAAGGCAGCGCAGCTGGTGTGACGTAATTCCTGCGCAGTTGGATGATCCAACTACGCGTGCGAACTAGATCGCCAAACTAGTGAACTCCTCGAAAAGCATCATGACTGTTGGGAACCACACGCCATTCATTCTGCAGTTTTGCTTCTGCCAACGTACCTCCGTTTTTCCGGAGCTTTAGTGTGACTTGCAATTTAGTTGCGCGGTGTTTGAGATTCCTTGGGTGCGCGTGCATCGTCCTGGCCACGAACCCCCTATATACCAACCTTAGCACCCTTCGCAGCAACGTGTTCACGACCCCGAGCGATACACTACAAATCGATCCTCGTTTCCTCGTAAAAAACCATCAAACTCTCCGGAGCTCCAGACGCAGCGTGGCGCGCCTGTCTGACCACATCGACCTCATGTCTCGACGATAGCAACGGCGTCTGCCTTCGACCTCCTTCCTACACACCTAGCTCAACAGCATGGCCGACCAGCCAATAAGCCTCGTCGACCACACAAATGGCGACAATACGCCTTCGACGACCGTCACACAATCCGAGCAGCAGCTCACAAATGCGAGCTCCCACATCGACATCCTCTACGAAAACCAGCGCGGTTGGTTCGTGTTCGGCATACCGCTCTTCTCCTCCAAGGCACTGTGGAACCTAAGAATCGATCCTGCGCCCTGGCAAGATGCCAAGTTTAAGCCCTCGGCTGTCAACATCACAAATGCACAGGTGCCTGACCCGAGCTGGGTATGGGACTGGAAAACTTGGTATGTCGACATGAGCCTGGACGTCGACGAGGAAGGCTGGCAATACAATTTTTTTTTCAACGGCTCAGCATGGCATGGTAACCACCCGTGGTTTCATAGTTTTGTCCGCCGGCGGCGCTGGTTGCGAAGACGTGTCAAGCAGAGACTGCCACCCAAGACTAGAGCAAATGCGAAGGAACGCATGTTTGGTGAGCAATTCAGCATTGGTACAACCTTGGCTAGATCTACGACGTTTGGCACTGGCAGCGGTCTGTTGGACAGTTCTCAAACCAGTTTGGACGAAGAGATCAGAGATATTGCCACATTGATGAGGAAGCTGAAGGCTGCTGCAATCGACCGCGAGAAGATTGTTTATATACACAAGTTCATCAACGATGGGGGTGAGGAACTACACTACCTTGCAGAACAGGCACACACTCCCCACATACGTTTCTTTAATTTGATCCCACTAACACATGCAGATTCCTACAATCATGTCCATGCTCATTTTCCAAAATTCACGCCACCAACTTCTCTCGACGCTGATGGACCGTTTTGATGCTGCAAAAGAACACCGCGAACAACACGAAAAGGACGGAAAGCCTGAAGATGAAGCCGAGGAACGCCGAATCAACAACCTGCTCAAAGCTGTCGAGGCAGCGGACAACGAGTGCAAGAAGTTGGAGTATTGGAGTGATATCAAGAATTTGACCGAGGAGGGCAAAGCGGGTAATGCAACAGATCCAGGCATGGGCTGGGATGAGAAATGGCAGGGTCTCGATGTCAGCGGGGCCAGTTATCCTGAGAAATGAGTAATCACGAGCGTTGATTGGAGTTCACCGGAGTTGATGTATTTGCGAGGCGCTGGCGGAGTTGACATTCGGCGTTGGTCGGAGCATTGGCAACATTGGCAGTGTAGCAACAGCTTCAGCAGGCGTAGATTGTTGTGGTAAGCACGAATATTATTATGCTATACCTGACTAACTTGTGTCTTTGCCATTCTCACTCGAATCGGACCTCTAATATCCTTCAAGCTCTCTGCGGTCACCACTTCTCCTTTTTGCATGACTTCAACTTCGCCAGATGCTCGTTTCTCCCACAATAACTGCCGTATAATGTCCATGGTGTCTCTCCATGTTGTTGCGTTCAACGTGTCCAGCTCCGCACCGGATAATGCACGCGCGATCTCGGAAGGGCAGATCGTCTTTGGCCAAGCCCGAGTGCTGAGCAGACGATCGGCATGATTTAGGATGAGACTGCGCTGGTTCTCATTCAGAGACATCGGTCTGGTGTCTTCTGAAACTTTGTGTAGCATGAACAATGTTGATGGTTGCAGACAGGGATATTGATGCTTCGCAGAAAGAACCCTGGGTCAATCTGGCTCTTGAAATCTGGATGAGATCCGTTCGCTAGATCTCTTGTCCACCGATCTACAACAAGCTCCCCACCATCTTGGACCGATGTCCCAATCCGTCAACGTCAGAGCGTCCAATCGGCGCGCAACAAACAACAAAATAACCCGACAAATATTTTTTTGTTTCGCGCATCTTCCCTCTCTGTGAACCGAGTCTTCCGGCACAATTACTAAAAGAATTGGCGATTTGTGGACTTGCTGTCTATCTTGGTTCTTGTCATGCCGCACCGGCTACCCCACGCCCTCCGAGAGCTAGTTGCCGCGGGGCAGCTTCCCTCTTCTCCGGCGCGTCTCTTATCAAGCTCACCTCTGCCTTTAAATCCTTCGCCAGTCTCTGCACTGCTTGGTCGGACTTCGTCGCGATTCTGCCATACCGGATCGTCCATCCCCAAACTACAAGCAACTACCGCTGCGCAGCCTCTCCAGACCAAACGACAGTATTCGTGGCCCAGGATGACTGGAACAGAGGATCCAAAGGAGGTTCGCAAGTACCTCCAGCAGAGCCATGACCGTATCTTTGAGAACAACAAGAAATGGGCCGAGGAAATGAAGAAGAAGAACCCTGCGTTCTTTGAAAATATGAGCGCGGGTCAAGCTCCCGAGTATCTCTGGATTGGTGAGTCAATCTTTGTATGAAGTAGCTGAAGTCATTCCGGAGAGCCGGCTGGGCAATCAACTGGCTATCCTATTGGTCTCAATATCCTGAATCGTCTTGAAAAACACTCAGTTGTAGACCAAATCAAATGAAGCAACCACTGACCGCATTTCCTCCAGGATGCTCCGACTCTCGTATCCCAGCCGAAGCCATCACCGGCCTCGAGCCTGGCGAGATGTTCATCCACCGCAACATTGCCAACCTCGTTTGCAACATCGATCTCAACGTCATGTCCGTCGTAAACTATGCCGTACGCCACCTCAAAGTTAAGCACATTGTCGTCTGCGGCCACTACGGCTGCGGTGGCGTCAAAGCCGCCATGACCCCGAAGGATATGGGCCTCTTGAACCCCTGGCTACGAAACATCCGCGACGTATACAGACTGCACCAAAAGGAGCTCGACGACGTCATTACCAATGGTGGAACCGAGGACGACAAGTATAACAAGCTTGTCGAGCTCAATGTGTATGAGCAGTGCAGGAACATTATCAAGACAGCTGCTGTACAGCAGTCTTGGGCTGAGAATGAATTCCCCGTTGTGCATGGATGGGTGTTTGGGTTCCACGATGGAATGCTGAAGGATCTCAACTTTGATCATGAGGGTCAGCTTAAGGAGATTCAGAAGATTTACGATTTGACAAAGGATATGTAGATGAAATGGTCGTTGTGCTTTGGGTAGGGGTTGCGGGCTGTTGTTGTATAAGTAGATGTGAGTTTAGTCAGGAGTTAGCGGTGAGAGATAATCTAGGGTCGGATGTATACATGACCGATATAGGAGTCGCATTTTCAATTGATGAGTTTATATCAATATCCGAGTCTCTATTTTGGACGATGCTTTCTACCATTCTCTCATATAGAGCATGAGTAATGAGACACTGATACCTCTCAATAACGCAATCAAAAATGCTCGCAATATCATTTCCACACTTTTCTATCACTAATCATATTTCTCTCATCTAACATTCACTCACGGAAAACAGCAGACTAGAGCACATTTTAATCATCTTCCCTTTATGAGAGAAATATTCACCATTGCACTGAATAGTTTTTTTAGGATGTACACGCACACAAATGCGCACATACTTAGAACCAATCAAGTAATCAGCCTAAGATCCTATATTGTGACTGATTAATACTGAAACACACTGTCGACTGACTGGATTCAATAGAACAAGCCAACCAAATCAAACCAAGAAATCGACTTCTCCCAAACTTGCTATTGACAACCTGTCCATCACCTGCCTTCCCTGCTGTTCCGGCTCAAATAGCAAAACTGCGTTTTATTCAGAACACACCTGAAAAAGAGGCTTAGTCGTGATGGATGGCATCTAGCGCCTGTGTCCTCGTCGAAGTAGATGTAATCAAGAATCTTGAATGTGATGCCTTTAGTGAAAACATTGAAGAATACAGAGGTAGTGAACTAAGATATTCTGTGTAAAGTCACAATTTCTACTGCAGTAGACCTGATAACCATTGCTCTCGCCATATTTTTGGCCCTGCGGTTCCGCATTGCGCTACTTGTATTTTTAATAGCTTTTTTATTGACTGCTATCTGGCTCTCCAAAGTAGGGCAGATATAGAAATGTTTTTTCTTGGGATTTGCAGTAGTCAAGTAAGCAGAGAGTTGCAACAAAGCTTCTTTGGCACTAAAACTTAAAACCCTTTTACTGCGGTATTGTTAGTAAGAACACATAATTTCTTTTATCGGAAATAAATGTAGCTCTGGATTCGTTACCTGTTCGATTAAATTGGCCAGGGGAAATATATTTGAAGTGCTCTTTGTATGGAAAGTGGTCTTTGGTAAGTTAATGAACGAAGGGTCCATATCTTCAGGTTGCTAATATTCTACAGTTTGTAGAAGTTTATTTTGAATGTGTAGCTGTGTAGAGCTAGTTTTATAGATACGGTTGTCAGCGTCATGTATGCTGGCATGAGAGGCGGTTTTACAGACGGTCGGATCGGTTTTATATTTATAGCATAGAATGAATAGGTGTGTCATGGTATCTGTAGTCAAGGTTCCAGCCGAAGCTTAAGGTTTGCCTTTTTCTCCGACAAGTATATATAGAAACAACTGTTTTAAGCAAAGTTTTTTGTTATGTCTATGTTATTCATTAATATGGAAGAGGGGAGAATACACAAAAAAACTCTCCGTGGCATTGTGTTTGAAAGTATAAGAGAGCTCGGGCTTATTAGTTCGTAAACCGATTTTTTTTCACATGCGTTGATATGAGTTAGATATAGCTTTGAGCGAGAGATGAGTAAGAAAACATACATAGGAAACGTAGATGTACAAAAAAGAATTGCATAATACACCACGCAACGGAATGTCACTGCTAGTATCTGAAACTGAAGTTCAACAGCACATCACTAAATATAGATGAAGTTTTCGTTGTCACTTTCTAGTTACCAAAATATACAGACGCTCTGGCAGCACATGTAACGATTCATTGAATAAGACATAGCTCTTGAACAAAAGCAGCAGTATCTGCAAAAGACATGTTTCCAAGAACCACTTAACATATCTGTGATGCCTATGAAATTAGCTAAATCACACATTGACGTGATTCAGCCGATCAAAGGCGCCACCTATGTAGTGGATATGCCTGAATACCGACCTTGACATACAAGCTATGTCACTGTACTAGTGACATATTCCAGAAGCTCAAGGAACCTGCCTTTGTTCGCTTATGCAGGTCACGCAACAGATCATCTGCGGAGCAAAAAGATTTACAAAGCCCTCGACAGGCCATCTTGCCCTGCATGACGACAGTGTATACAGGTCCGCGGCAAAAGCAAAAAAAGAAACATCTCAAGCCCGACGTGGGGGTCGAACCCACAACCTTGAGATAACCAATCGAGTCTGATCAGGACGTGAAAGCTAAGAGTCTCACGCTCTACCGATTGAGCTAGCCGGGCGTTGTTTGCTTACTAATGAGATTTTTTGAATTTGGTCAAAATATGTAGCTGCGCACCAAAGGCTTGAAGCTTTCGGACAGCATGTTGACACGTTTCTAGCTAATGCAAGGGCCTGTTGGTTCGCTGCAAGTCCGCTGCCAAAAGCAAACTAGCGCCCGTCACACCACACGAACCATAGCTGACGCTGACAGATTCTGAAACATTCTTTTTAGCGTTAGCGTTCAATCCGCAAGTGGTGTGTGAACCCGAGAAACAACCCTAGATCTGTGTTTGCTTTTTACACAAGGGTCCAGATTGCTTGGTACTCAGTGGTCGCGCGTGTGGTATTCGGGGTTCAACGAGACAGTATGGTACGCGGCGTCAGCCAACAGTGTCTGGATGTAAGCCCGTGCAATTGGTAGCCCAAAGTTCCGAGATCCAGCCCGTTCGCGAGTCATGTTATTACTCTGCCCCTTAAACGGTATCCGCCCAAAATATCCAAGGCCTTGGAATAGAAATTTCACCGGTAACGAAAGGGCCGAGTTCTAGCACTGAGCACTCAGATCAGCGCGGAGGGTGATGTAGTGTGACGGTAGCAATGCTGCAGATTGCATTTTAGGTTCATGATGCAAAAGGGTACCAAAAATTGCGCGATACGTACTTATACGTTCGTGTTCGGAATCGCGTACAGTTCATTGGTAAAGTTATTTGATTGTCAGCTTAGCAGATGAGCAACTCTGCGCCAAATATGGTCAGTATGGCAAGCCGAACGGTCATGATCAGTCTCAGAGAGTCATCGTATAGCGTACTCTGTACTAAGTCCGACCATAACAAGGCTACCCTCAGTATTTTCGCATTTCCGCGGAGACGGTATGACATTGAGCTCATAGAAAATTACCGACTGCCAATGTTGCTGATGGCAGATGTGATTCAGCGGCAGCCGGTAGCAATCAATTGTCCCGTCCCAGGTATCCCAGACATCACGCTGAATACGGTATACATTAAAGTTCCTAATGGGCAGGGATCAGTGGAAGGTAACTGAATACGGAGGTGCTCTTGCATCAATATGACATCCGGCGCGGTCAGCATGTATTTGTTCAAAAGACCATCGGCCTGAATCACCGTCAACAGAAGCCGGGCCCCCCGAAGAACCATGTGGTTGTCTCCAATTTAAGTATACCAATAGACCCATCATTGTTTCGGGAGACAGCGAACTAGTTACCTGTTCAGCCTGATTCCGGGAGTCGGAGCATCCCCCATACCCGCTTCATTCAGAGATGACAATGTCATGGTAGGTAGCATCGGATATGATGCTTACAAGCTCCATGTGTACAGCGAATGTTACCACCTACGTCAATAGCTCCAAGAGCCTGTGGGTTGATTTACCTAAGATCGACACTCTACGTGGTCTATGCTGCTGTATCCTTGATCCGCTTGTTAGCTCAAAATCTTCTGAACGAGGGCATGTGGAGGCTGAATGTCGTACCAGATACACTTGATAGAAGCTCATCATCACTTTGCCGTCTCCTTCCTTGACGAGGTGCGCCCTTGCAGCCCAGTCTTTACTTGACTCTCCCCCTACCTTAAGGCCGTATTTTACCGTTCCATACAACATGACTTCATTAGCGTCTGAACCAAACGGAAATATCTTCAGCGGTGCGTGCGCCCTGCTGGAGACCGTTTCCCACATGGCTTTGCGCAAGGCTAGGATCTCTGCAGCCGAGAGTCAGCCCATCGGGACGAATCAACCGTTGCGGTTCCAGGAAGGAAGTAAATGACTATGGCAAGTGTGGAATGGAGGCTAGACAAAAAAAGCAATGAGCGACAAACCGTCTCGGCCCACTGCTATTTTGGAAGCCATGACTAGTGTTGCATCCTTCGTGAAGTATTTGACGTAGTCTTCGTGCGCCTCTGGAGTGTCCGATGTGGCGTAAAAGGCCTGGAAAAACTCCTTGTATGAAGGATCAATCGCAATAGCCGGCGGGTACTGTGAGGCGTAGGCGTTCATTTCGTGCTGTAATTGCTGGAAAATATCAAGGGTGAATGGAGGCTACAGTTGTTGTACCTCAAACGCCCAGCAAAGCCTCTTTCATCTAAGGTGGGGCTGACGTAATTACTCACTTCTTAGAACGCCTTACTGCGGCTCACCTGACGGGCCGGCGGGAACGGCGTTTTTTTAGCGACGTACAACTCGACCTCATAAACATACTGATCCTGCTCAGTTTCACCAACAACGCTGCGGTCCTGCCAAGTGTTGCTTCTCTATTATTTTTCCTTTGATAGGGAAGTGTGGAGGGTCAAAATGTAATGAAAGCTAAACGTCTCCACGGAAAGGGACACCACTGTAGCGGCGCCGACATTAGGACACAACGCTACAGTAGCGTCGACCACAAAAACAAAGAAGAGACGGCCGATTTTTGGGCGCGCATCTGCGATCTGGAAGTATCTTTGTAGTCGCTCTACTTCACAGCCACGGCCTAATGCGCTTTGCCACCGAACATCGTCGGTCCGGTCAAGCTCGGTGTTTCTCGACCCAAGAAGTACTCTCTGAAGTACCTGCGCAAGGGTGCTCAGGTCCTGCAGCGCAATAATACGGAACCCACGTGTCATCATAGCACCCCGTGCGCGTATTACAGGAATCCCATGCACTCTCGGACATGGGAGAAAAATATTTTTCAGCGCTATTCTCCATCAGCAACAACTTGCAGGGGCTCTCTTGCCTAGGAATCACACCTTCAATTTCGATCGCGATCCACGCTAGGCATAGCAATTACAAACTTCTTGTTCGCTCCCATCAACACTAGGGAGCCTCCTCAGCCGCCATGGCCGGCGTCTCAAACCCTTACTTTTTCCTTGGTTCAGGCCATAATGGTTTACTTGTGGCTCCCGAAGGCATGCAGGTCCATGTGGCTGTGTTCCAGGCCCACGCACACGACTACGCCATGAATTGCTCTTTCAAATCCCAGAAATCGGGACATGACATTCTCCGTCAGCTACCCCTGGTCAGGACTTCTCCGTCAACTGGGCTTATTCGTGGGCCCCTGTCGATCTGTCAGAATCATTGTGGATGTTTCATGTTTTACTAGACTGCCGTATGCATGCAAGTATTGGACGGCCCTGCAGAAATGATGCCCAGGCTCCCGAAAACTCTCGTCTTACATGTTGAGAAAGCATACGGCTTGTAACTGCACATCTCAAGACGACTTGACGTGATGCTTTCCTGTTAGGCTGATGTGTATACAATCGTTTACGCAATGATGATAGTGTGGCTCAATGATTGACTTAGTACGATCCAACTAGTTTGGCCGCCGTCGTTCGAACAAGTTCAGGATGAATTTTGCCCCAGGCTAAGATTCGACGGGAGCTAACTAGTCTGGGTCACTATTAAACAACGTGGGTACTTCTTTGGTCCAGGCTCAGCCGTGAACGTCAGAGTAGACTTCATCTGTGGCGCACAAGCCAGCCAATTCTAGAGTATGGGCGAAGCAGTCCGTCTCGATCTACACTGGGGTGCTCGCACTTTGCGAGATGTGGGCCATTAGCACGCTTTGGTGATTCCAGATCCTGATGGCGCTATGAGGGCATCCGACTACCCGCCCGAAAGTGCGAAAAGTACAAGATCTGGAGTATGGCCCCCGCTGACAATGGGGTTCATCATCTTCACCACCGCCCAGGTATAACTACGCTTGAGGCTTAATATCCTTCAGTATATTCTACCCTACTCGTCACAATGGTGTCTCCTTTCGACACTTCGTCTCGAAGACCAGACTACTTCCCTGGACAAGGCCGGCGATCCAGTGAGATCATGCCTTCCCAACCCCAGGATGTTGCGGTTCCTGCTCATCTCCTCCGTGCCACTGGCAATCTTGGATCCAAGCGGGACAACACCGCCACCCACACTGCTACATGGGAGCCTATACAAGAGAACCCGTTCCTCGACGCAGGGGTAGGAAGTATTCGGCGAAATGACACTCAACGCTCCGCCATCCGCCAAAACAGCTCTCAACGATCAGCTATCCGACAAAACAGCAACCAACGCTCGAGGGTTCTACAACGAAATGGTACTCAAGATTCTACCGATGTCGGACGCACACGAAGCGAAAGCGAACGAAGAAGAAGTGTTCGGTTCTCCACAGTTAATTCCTCCTCCAACAACAACAACAACAACAGAACCTCACGATATGCGCTACCCTCACCTGATGAAGAAGGCACGAGGGCTCAGCGAACCCTCTCTTATGTACCTGGCTCAAGCGATGTCCTGACTACCACTCCTCGGGAAAGCCGAGCACCATCACCCAACTTTGAGAGGAGAGCTAGCATATCATCGACCTATTCCAACGAGAACCCCTTTGCTTCCAAGCCAAGCTCGATCAAGAGCGATCCCTTCGCAACAGAAAACAACACGCCTCGCGGGTCATTTGATGCGCCACCTCAGCAACCTCAACCTGTACACCATGCTAAGCACAAGCGGAAGAACACTCTGCAGTCAGTGGTTGATGGTATCATTCCTGGTTCTTTGCAACGTCGCATGACCAACGCATCTTACTTCCAACGGAGTGAGTTGTTCGGAACCTACGAGAAGGCCAAGAAGAAGGGTATCGAGATCCAGCGCAAGCCATGGGCACAAAACACTTTCGAGTACAGCCTGTATCTCGTCATGATCCTCTTCATCTACTTTGTGCTTATTGGTATGCCGCTCTGGAAGGGTGCGGTCTGGTGGATGTATTGGGTTGTCCAAACCAAGTTTGTCCTTCCTGGTGGATTCGGTATCACTCTGGGCATTGCGCTATTGTAAGTTGGTCCTTGAGGAAAGTTTTGGGCTTTTGCTAATCCTTTCGCAGCTACGCCTTTGCCCCTCTTCTTATCCTTTTCGAGAAGGACCCTCCACCTGCCGACTACACGACAGAAACTAAGTATCCATCCACTGTTGATGACACTTGTCTCATGATTCCTTGCTACAAGTCTGCTGGACTCATTGCCAACACTCTCGAAGCTGCCTTGAAGATCTTCCCTGCATCCCACATCTACGTCATTGCCAACGGAAACAGCCCCACGCCACTCGACAACACGGAAGAGGTCTGCCGCCCTTACGGAGTTAACCACATCTGGTCGCCCATTGGATCTAAAATTGTTGCTCAGTTCGTTGGTTGCTACGCCGCAAAGGGGTTCAAGAACGTCTTGCTCATCGACGATGACTGCGCCCTTCCCGATAACTTTCCCATCGTCACTAACCGCATGACTGACAAAGTCAAGTGCATTGGTTACACCATCAAGTCCGTCGGACCTAATGGGTCGAAGGGAAACCTTTGCCAACAAGCACAGGATCTTGAGTACAAGCTTAGCGGTATCCAGCGTGAATTTGCTGGCAAGATCGGTTCTGCTACCTTCCCCCACGGCGCTATTTCCCTCTGGGATCGCGAACTCCTCATCAAGACTTTCCACGAGCACCCCGGTTTCAGTGTATCAGAGGATTGGTTCTTCGGCCACGTCGCTCGCCAGCTTGGTTCTCGTATCAAGATGTGTTCGCAGGTCTTTGTCGAGACCGAGACCCCCACTGCTGTCTTCTTCGCCGGCGGCGGCTCTCGTGGTGGCTTCGGTGAAATGACCATCTTCTCTCAACGTTTCAAGCGCTGGAACTTCTTCTTCGTCAACGGCATGTACTACAACATGGCCTACATCTTCTGCGACTGGAAGCTCGGCTGGTGGGAGATTGGCGCTAAGATCTTTGTCTTCCAAGAGGTAAGCACACCTTTTCTACATCGCATACAAACACACGTACTAACATACAACCCCAGGTCTACGAAACTCTCCTTTACCTCCTCACTCCCTTTATTCTGCCCATCTCCTTCTACGTCCGCCCCGACTTCTGCGGTTACCTTCTCGCTGCTACAATCGTCATGTACGCGGTCAACGTCATCATCTTCAACGAAGTGCATCTCCGCCGCAAGAACGAGCGCGTCGGCTGGGTCCTGCTCTACGTCTACTACCTGCCCTACAAGATCGTTCTCACTTTTGTCAACGTCGCCAGCTGCTACTGGTCGCTATACAAGTACGCGCGGTATTTCGCTAAGCGTCACCCCAAGGTCATCGAGGACGAAAAGGCCGTCGAGGTCGTCATTCGCCTTGAAGAGGACCAGGCTTCCAAGCAGGGTGGTCTTGGCCGTCGCCTTACCGTGCGCACCGTTGGTGGCCGCCCCAGCGTTGAGGAGCAGGATGATGATTTGGATACCGCGAGGAACTCGTACGATCATGTTGCTGCGCCCGAGCCGATCATGTCGCCTAGCTTCCGCGACGACTCGAGGCCTACTAGCCATGTGCTGAGGACTGAGGGTGTTGCGGCGAGGGATTACTTTGGGGAGAAGAATGCAGCACCAGGACGGCCGCAGGATGTATGATCCCGCCCCCTTTTCTACCTACTTTCGCTTTCTTCTCCTTCAATCTTCTTTACATTTTCTTTTTCTTCTCATTCCTCTTTGTATTCTTCTTGAACACAACTTTTATACCTTTCTTGATTACTCTTCGTCGCACATACTTTCTACACACTTTCTTCAAACAATTTCTACACACTTCTTACCTTTTTCCTATGTATGATATAGACGGGGGGGTTTACTCGGTACAGAAAAGAAAAATGCTTCTGGAAGGACACTTTGCTATATACCTATTTTTTAACTGTATAATCAGTATTATGAATATGAAAAAAAACTGCACTCAACATCTACGTCTTCCGATGCTTTGATTGATGATACTTTATGCATTGCCCGTCGTGTCTCTTGAATCGTTCGCTGCTCTCGATTTCCCACCTCTTCTACCGCCACCCCGACCACCTCGGCCACCACCACCTCTACCTTTCTGCACTTGCCCAAATTCCTTCTCCCACTCTTCAACATTTACAGTCACGCCTTCAGGCAACTTCCCATCACTCATCAATACACCGCCATCCTTCTTCCTGCTCTCCACGCGCTTGAAGAAGGTATACGGCAAAAAACCTTGCTCATTGCCCTCTGTTAAAATGACACCATTCTCCGAGATGAAAAACTTGATACCAGCAGCAAGCGCAGCATCGATATCAACGTAAACCAGAATCGTCGAACCCCTGCGCATACCAGATATAACGGGCGCAGCGTCTGCAGATGCAGATGTCGAGTCAAGGGATTTGAATCCAGCGGGTAGTCCAGAAGCAAAGTGGATGTGGTTTCTCCCCATGGGACGGAGACCGCCGCTCTTGAGGATGAGGTTCCAGGCGCGCTCGTCGGTGCCGTGGACGACTGTTTCGGGGACGTTTCCGGCTTCAGTGGTGATGGGGACGAGGAGGCCCTCGTTTTCGACTTTGATGGAGTGACCTTGGTTCGCGCGGATGAGGTACTCTGCTGGATCGTCTGATTCTTGTATGCTTTGCAGTTGTTCTGATGCAGGCGTCTCAGACGATTCTTTGTCAAGTGACGAGACTGGGATCATAGAAAAGCGCTGTTTCTCGTTGTTTGCGACTGCGTCACGGACTTCTGCAAAGGTGATTTTGAGGCTTTGTAGAGCCTTGGTGTTGAGCTGTGGGCTGTTATTTTTTGCTGCTTGCCAAAAAAAAGCCAGTGAAAACTGATCCATCCGACCACGATTGTCAAAAGCGTTGTCCAAATTCTGGCTTTGTTTTATGTACACTGTGATTACAAACTTACCGCATCTTGAACATTGACATAGCCACCCTTTCCTAACCTCAGCCCCTCCTGGTCAGCCCCATGTCTGAGTAACCAGCTTATCTTCTTCGAAACCTGTACTTCTCTTGGCTGATTGGCCGGATTGCGACTGCCGCCGCCACGACCACCTCTGGCCATGTTCGTGATAGTCCTGCTGAAGATGCGTGGAATATTTGCGGGGCGAATACTGACAATTGCGGGGATGCGTTGACAAGATATATGCAGTATTACGTTAGGCAACACTCTGAGTCGAGATGAGTGATGTATAGTGAGTCAAACACTATAGTTCCGCAAGGGCGAATGAGTAGTGAGAAGTATGGTTGTTGGGGGGAAAAAGGTTAGCGCGAGATTTGTGCGCAGCGGCCCCGCAATTGGTCGCGCTTGCAGAGACTACTTGTGTCACTGTGAGTCCGTCTCACATATGATGTTCTCGTCTATAAGCTACTGAGGCTGATGTGAGGTGTCTTAAACATACACGTTCGCAAAATTACATCTTTCCCACTTGAAGTCCAATTCCTCGCCAGTCTCTCCGACAAAACACCTGCTATTCCAAAACATATCTACGTACCGCGTAGTGTCAATAGAGAAATGGCCTATAAAACCCAGAACCATCGATCAACAAAGTACTCAATCCCCATATCCTAGATGCAAGGTTATTGATCAAGCATGGTCGCTCATATTCTAGGGGAGGATGAAGTACTGATAATCTTCGAGGTATGTTGTGTAGCACAAGTATCACAATGGCATTCTGCTGTTGGATGACCCTAGCGCAGTTTCTCATAAACAAGTGGCTAGTCTTCAATGTATTGCTAAACAATATTATTGACAAGCAAAAGAGTACTGCGCTTCTCCTCGTTCAACGCCTAGTAGGGGTAGGAAAGAAAGAAAATATCGTCATAAATCTGCGATCAACACTCTGGCAATCTATATATATCTCCAGTGTTTCCGCCCATTAATATGTAATTGAAGCCCATTGCCCAAAAGCATATCAGCACGCACAACCCTCTTTGGGACCCTGTGGCTGCGCGCTGCCCAGGTTTACCCGGTCAGCATCTTGCCTAGCCAGGTTGGTCTGGCCGCCAACATGGCGTGGTCCCTTTAAGCTCGCCTCTGGGATTGCATTTGCGATAGCAGTGAACACCTCGGCAACGTTGTGCCCAGTCTTTGCACTCGTCTCGAAGAACAATAAACTCTCTTCGTCCGCATATGCCTTTGCAGCCTTGCTGGGCACTCTCCTGGAGTCTTGATCGTCTTGTGCCTGCTCTTCCTCTCCCTCGGCTGCAGGCGCAGCATCTGTATCCTCTGGCCTGTCCTCGTCACCAGCGGTGGCAAGATCGAATTTGTTTCCTACGAGTGCAATGACAATACCGGGCGAGGCTTGGCGGTGTAGTTCGGCAACCCAGTGTTGAGCTTTTGTGAGTGACGAAGGCTTGGTGATATCGTACACGACGAGGGCGGCTTGCGCATTGCGATAGTACATAGGTGCGAGCGAGGCAAAACGTTCCTGGCCTGCGGTATCCCAGATCTCGAACTTGATAGTACGGCTCGGTAGATTACATTTCTGCGTGAGGAAAGCAGCTGCCGAGAGTCATGTTAGCTCCAAAGCGCTGCTTGAGAGTAGGCTTAGTAGAGTGGCTGTGTCCGTACCTCCGATAGTTGGCTCTTTGTTTTCTTGGAAGTCATTGTTCACGAAGCGCATAACAAGGGAAGACTAGCATCGGAGTCAGCTCATGTTCAAAACTGACATATTAATATCGCGCACCTTTCCCACGGCCGCCTCTCCTAGCAGCACAAGCTTGACGCTGCTGCTTGGCTTAGGTTGCGCGGATGTGTCCGCCATCGTCGATGCGTGAGATGATGCGATTTAGAGCTTGTGAGGTGTGTACAGGTGCGACGAATCGTTTAGAGATGTAGCTCAATGTTCCAGTATCATGCGCGATGTGGGGGTGCAGTTTGAGTCCAGGCAGCGATGTTGCTGGCGGACGGTTTGAGGTTGCCGAGCACAATGACGAACGTCAAGCACGTGAGTTGCTGACTAAGATTTGTACCGTTTTCGATGCCCTTGTACTACGTACACAGATGTCCTTTCACACATGTTGGTTACACAGACTACTTTTACTATCCGCCGTGACGTACGCAAGAGAATCATTTTATGTTATGCTCTGGTTGATTTTGCATACCAGAGGCTTAATGCAAGACCACAGAGAAGTTAGAGTATTCTCTTGTGCTGCATGCTTGTCAGAAGTCGTCCCACAACCATCTGTTATCGATAGAGTACAAACCCATGACCAAACCATTTGTTCATAGAGAGTAAAATTGATGTTCGAGGCACTGACTGAACAAATCTTAATGCAGTTACATGATGTTAAATGACCTGTCCAGCCTGCCGCGCAAGCTGCGTCAGCATTGGAAGCTCCTCTCTCTCTTGACGGTTTAGACAAGCCTCTACAAAATCACTCAATTGCATAACCAGTGAAAATTGGCGGAGATGATTTGGACCGAAGATATGGGTAGAGAGTACACCAAGGATTATGGGGCCATACAGTACTGTGAAATCCTATTTCTTGTTTGTACTTTTTACAGTAAGATGCACCGGACCAGCATTTCGAGATTGAGTAGTGTGCTTACTACTGGTACTGACATTGCTCATTCTCGCGGTCAGGTGCACTTGTGCAAAAAGACAGACCGCAACTCTGTCGGTCCTAGTATGAGGCGTCGTTGGCGACAACGCATACCGATCTTCAAAAAAAAAGTCGCAGCCAACACCTCAAGTGGGGACATTTGGGCAACTATGCGCTTGGTGCTCAACAATATTTTTTTCTTTTCGAAGGACCGACTCTTCGGTTATGGGAGGAGTGAAACTGGATTGTTGTTGTTTGTGGGAGCAAGGAAGACGAGAAGTGGTTGGTGACTGTTCATCGCTTAGTCACGGGTTACCAGCATCTTCTGGCTTTACAACGGGCCGAAGGAGCCCACGTCATGGAAAAACCCACGGAATGCAACATGTGCATCGGGCGATGCTGCAGGATGAAGTTATCTTGTACAGCCATGGCGAATGACGTCACGTCGGTAGTATGAAACCCTACGTGGTTTGGTGTGCCGAGAGTGGCCATGGCCAAAGTGGGCTTCGCAGGGGATGTGTTTGGACGAGTGTCTGAGTCAGCGGCCGCACGTGCAAACGAGGTGAGTGCTGATTGAGGCCCCTGAAGCGTCGCCCACCGGGCCATAACAAAATGTTTGCCAGGACACGGAGAAACATTGCGGACAGCGAAGAGGGAGATGGAGGCCAATTGGACTAGACTTGTCGCAGTGCCAATGGCAGGCGTGCGGGCGGCAATGTGGCGTCTTTGACCCCTCAAGTATTCAGAGCCACGGGACTCCCGAACCGGCAGGCGCAATTGAAATGCTCTCCTGCATCTGCATTTGCATCTGCATATCCTACATGGAATGAAGACACCACACCGGAAGGACCTGGATGGCGACTCCAGAGCGCAGTGCACCCCACCGCCATGCTGCCAACCGGCTCCTCAACCAAGGGCTATCATTGGGTGCAGCGTAGCATGCCCACATGGGCATGGGAGCGAATACGTGTGTAAACCAGGCACCGCGGTGACCGGAGCGAAGACAATGGCTTGGCAGGTGTATGTATGTATGTGGTGGTAAGTGAGTGTGTAAGTATGCAGGTAATTGTGTCTGTCTGCCCATGGAGCGGCGCACGTATGCACGCAATACTTGTTACTCATCTACAAAGTGTCGAGATGCTGATGGGGTCCAGAAGGGCACCGCAGGCCGGCCGTCATGTGGCGCTGATTGTGTGGTGCAGATGCGGCATGGCCCAACAGGCAGAGGCTCCACAGCAGCGAATGGCAGGACGGGGCGGTGGCTCGCGCGATAATGGCAGCACAGACGCCAGGCGTGCGACCGATGGCGATGACGCCAAGCGCTGGTCTCGCGTTCCGAGGGGGTGTCAGGCTCGTCAGGCTGGCCAGGCTGACCGCGACTGTGTTGCGACGGGCAGAGGACGACAACCATGGCTGCTGGACGAGCACAGAGGATGCAGATGGCGCAAACGCCTGTTGGCAGGCGGCCATGTCGGCGCTGAGCGCACCACGTCCAGACACAGCAGCGATCGGCTGGGCGCGCCTGAGACCGCTCTTCTGCCCTCGCCCTCTCCAGACAAGCGCTCGGTTCCCCGTGTCCTTGATCCGCCCGAGCCGGCATGGACCAAGCGCGACCATGGCAAAGTGTGTCTCCCCTCTGCGATTAGTATCAATATGCGCCTGGCGATCGGCGTTGTCCACTCCAGGCCTAGCCAGCCTGACGTGAATCCATGCTCGAATCACCCAGGCGGGGATGCACTCTAGAAGGCGCACTAGCTATGCTCCCCTTTGACAAACCCGCCCTTGGGCCAGGAACACGCACAAAAAAGTTTCATTCATTTGGCAGCGCTTTGCGAGAGAGCAGCCCACCACAGCATCCGGCACCCAGCTGCCCTGGGCCCAAGGGCCGCCCCAAGACGCGTGTGTGCCCGCTGAAACACGCAATCAGTGCGCGCGGGGAAATGCCGCATCCCAGATCCCCCCAGGGCCTTTGCAGCCTTTAATCCAAAGCGGTGCGGTCCAAAGGGCCAAAGGGGGCTTGCCTGCTCGCTTCCAGCCATTGCATGGCCGGGAACTTGGGAAGACGCCTTCGCCGGGGCCTACTTACTTATCAGTCACGTTGGTCGGCTTGTGGGATGGGAGCGTCCGGCTGACCCCAGATGCCGCGTGCCATGTTTGCGACCAAATAATAAAAAAGTTGCTGCGTCTGGAATTGCTGTGACAGTCTGACATCCCTTATTTCCCCCCTCCCTCTTCATGTAATCACACACCCCCCTTGCCCCGGCCCTCCTTGTCGTGTGCAGCAGTGCGTTGTTATTCACCAGTCCCGGCCACATTTCCCAGGCTGTGCAATCGAGACTCCCCATCGGACGCAGTAGTAACTCCATATCAGGAGCTCGGGCGTCACCCCACTTGTCGAATAGCATTCCGCGAACTGTCCACACGCCGTATTTTTTTGGATAAACGCCTCCTTCACCTAGCACACGCCTCCCGCACACACATCTTGTTAAATATTCGCACACACTGGCTCCCTGCGCTGCCCTGCATTGTCTCAACAAGCCCGTTTCAGCCGCATCGCCCATTGTAGCCCCGACACTTCGGACACGGTGCAACAATTGCTCGGCCCTGCTGACGAAGCCGGACGAACAAAGCAAACACCAAACTACTGGCAACTTTTTTTTGGGGGGGACCCAACATGACTGTACACAAGGTACTTCTACTACTTCCCGCTGCCATTGCTCCCCTCGGACTCGCACTGACCGGCTGCCCCCTTTCCAGGAACCCATCAACGTCCGACCCGCCAGCCAACAACGGCACTCATCCAGCACCATGGCCGGCTCGCTCCCCAAGAACCGAACCCACTCGCAATCCATATCCGCCGCCAACCTCCACCCGGCACATCGCGTAACGCGCAGGAAAAGCATGAGCCAGACTCCCGTCACAAACATCGCTGCCATCGCTGCGGCGGCCAAGGGCATGTCTGGGGCTCCGCTCGAGGGCGCCAGTAGTAGCGGCAGCAGCAGCGGACCGCGCCGCTCCTCCAAACCCGCATCGCAGTTTAGGGGGCCCAGCATGGCAACGGCCTCGAGCATGGCCTCGAGTGTGCCCGCTCATGGTGCGCAGTTCGGTGCCAGCAGTTACGGCAGTGCTGCCAAGAGTGAGGCACTCACCGACGGGCCCACACTCGCAACCATGTTGGAGCAGGACAAGGCAAATGCAAAGTCGCGGAACCGCCGCGCGAGCGAGGGCTCTCGCCTGTCCAAGGGCGACGGCAAGCGAAGTGGTAGCGAACTGAGATGTGAAAAATGCGGCAAAGGCTATAAGCACAGCAGCTGTCTGACCAAGCACCTGTTAGTAACCCTTAGCCTCCCATGGCCCTGCCACATACTTTCATGCCTCATGACGAATGCCCTTTCTTCACTCGCATGTCCATATAAACTGCCTTGCTCTTCTCAAGTTCTGCGTTGACTTTTTTGATTCTAGATGGGAGCATACACCGGAATGGCAGTACACGTCTAAGCTGCTCATCTCCAAGCATCAGCAGGTGCAGCTGCTCGAGGCCGCCTCGGTCCTCGTTGCCATGAACAAGGAGAGCGATGGCGAGCACAGCGACCGCTCCTCCCCTCCTGCCTCGGGCTCATCCGACGTGCGTGAGGACTTGAGCTCCACAGAAACTACCCCGCCCCCACAGCTCGACGACCATGCCGTAGGCTCTTACCCTCACTCGCACTTTGGCACTCGCTCCATGAAGCGTTACTCTACCAACAGCTCTGCCTACAGCCAATCCTACCAGTCGACTGTCTTCTCCGACAACGGTAATGGTAACGCGCACGGTCACTTCCGACAGTGGAGTAATGTCTCTGACCGCCCCACTACTTCAGGCACCTCGGTAGCCGGCTCCTACCATGATGATGCTAATGACCACGCCGACCTTGCTGCTGCCGTCGGCCTGCTCAGTTGCTCCTACGGCACCCCGAAGACGGGGCCTGTCGCCCTCCCCGCAGATGCGCCACCCGTGCCCCCGCTCCCAGCAAAGTATTTTGACCTGAATGCCCGCACCCTGTCTGGTAGCACTACCGTCACGGCCCAGCAGTCGAGTATGCGCAACAGCTATCGCCACATTAGTGAAAGCAAAGACGTCGACATGGACGACGACCACTTTGCCGATGAAGAGGACTACCGTTACTCCAACGCGCGCAGCCGCAGCCGCATTGATGAGGACGACGATGAAATCTTTGGAAGGATGGAAGAGTAGTTGTGTCCACACACGCCCTACCCGCCCTTCACCGCATCCCGGCCTCATTTATCCGACATTCCCGTCCGTGCGCTGCATCTTTATCTTTCTTCTGTACCACAAACGAAACATTTAGTTATTTAGCGACCTATCTCCGCATAGTAAACAGACGCAGCCTGGACACCGATGAGAGGGCCCTCAACCAAACCCCAGCCGCCAATGACACGAGGTTGTCGATGCCCTTGAGGTTGAAGTACAGGTTTTGAATAATACTGAACTGGCGTCTGTTTTATCATCTGCGTCGAGAGCCTAGCAACATCTCAAATATCTAGTATCCATATCAGTGTGAGGATTGACCTCATTTTGTTTAGCTCGTATTTTTCTTTATTTTTTCTTCCTTGCTTTCGGCTTGTCTTCAAACAAGAAACATATAAAACCTAGCACACGCTTTTTGTTTTTTTTTGGACGGGGAGGTAGAACGGAGGTTGTAGGTGCGCTGGCTAGCGTGGCCTTTTGTATATTCGGACGGGATGGAAAAGGACGAGGGGACGGAGAGAGAAAGAAGAGCGGCGTGCGTCGTATAAACAGCAAAGCACAATGTGAAGGGTCAACGGGTGTGTAGAGTGGAAACAGGAATGAATGCACAATGTGTTGGAAAAAGAAGAAAGCAACTTCAGCATGCGTGTGAGAAAGTGATGGAGACGAGTGCAAGACTGAGAGGGAAGACCAAAAAGTTTGAGGAAGGGAAAAAGGTTCGGGCCCTTTTGAACAATTCTCACATCGCTCAAACTCGCCGAAAATGCGAAAACGAGGCAGGAGCGGCGGTGCCTTACCTTTCCTAATCCAGGAAGATGACCAAACCCACTAGGGTTATTGCTCCCTTGGCGTCATCTCCAGCAGGTAGGGTATGCTGTGTTGCAAACACAGTTGTTACTCACCTAGCAGCTACTCACCATCTAATCCGCATTCTCAGAAACAGATGTTGAAAAAAAGCAAAAGGTGAAGAAGATAGCTAAACAAACAACGACCAGCGAGCGGGACAGCAACACTTTATATCCCCAACCACCAAGCACCCAAACAACCCCACACTTACCCTCCTCCCTCTTTCAGACAAAAGATTAAAATTAGGGGGGCACGGAGATACGTAAGAAAAACTGCGGAGGAAAGCACTTAATTGGGGAGATGGGGCTATGTGTAGAGCGGTGGTGGTTACGCGTCCATACATGTTTTCCTCACAGACGCATGATACATACTTGCTAACAAACGGGAATAGATTGGCGAACGACGATCAAACGGGCCACACCCACGTCCCCTCCCTCCGTCCCCCCGTCCCTTCTTTTCCCGCCTTCCCGCTGCTGCTGTTACTGCTGCGGTGACGTGATGACAAGCATATATGGTAGGATGATGGTTCGGAGCTGCCTGTATAGGTAAATGTTGGACGTTTTGTCGCTTATGTACGTGTGTTGATTGATTGTTGTTGGTGCACGATACGTAGGAGGTTTGGAGGGAAGGTGGGGTTGAGGATTTTTTGAAGATCTTGTGCCTCTTTTGTGGGAGGGGCTGGAGGCTTGGAGGCGTGGGGTGCGGTTTGGATCACGATGGGTGGAGGAGGGTTTGGAGAGGGTACGTGGTGTGGAAGAGGGGAGGGGGAATGGGCAATCTTGTATTAGAGGGAGGATGCGGGCTTGGAGGTTGTGCGGTGTCTGGATGATGAATGGTGGTTTGGTGAGTTTAGAGTGGGTATTTTTTCGTTGTATATGTGAAATGTTGTGTGCTTCTCTTCATTGGGGCGTGTGTCTGTGAAAGACCCCATCTGCTGCATGGGGAATTGCTTAATAGAGTATGTCCGAAGTAAAACGAATATTCGGGCAGGATGTGCAGGCACAGATTAAGCAGCACGTATTCTCTGGGCTATACGACGGTCCTCAGGGAAATTCGAAGGGTGAATGTCGGGCTATGTGAAGATGCTCTTTGCTGTTTCTTCCATACACGTGGCCATACAGTCCCTGTCGTGTGCGCACTTGTATCGCATTTTCATGGCAAACTAATATGGCAAAAGCGGCCTGAGAAACAGCTTGAAACAGCTTGAAACAGAATGCTCTGAAGAGATGCAGCAAATCAGATCTAGATATCACACCAAGCAGCACCAGTCTGCTGGATGGCTGATGCAGGCCAAGGTCGAGGGTTGGTGGAAGCTATGGCGTCACCCTGCGACCCTGAAGATCGGCAGCGACGGCCTCTTCGGCGGCGCTCACTGGCCGTAGACCAACAACAAGATGCCCTCGACGGCTCGACGCATACCAGACATTTCGATGCCCTCCGACGAGCGCTGACCAACCCTCTGCTCCAATGCACCCAGCCCTCTCTACATTTGCCGATCATGTCGTCAAATACCGTGACGCCCTCTTCCTGCTCGCGCCACCGCTCTACGTCGTCCTCACGGCTGTCGCCGCCCTCTACACGCCCACGCACCATTCGCTCCTCGTGACAGCAATCTCCTGGCTCATTGTATGGGTACCCACAGTCTTCTGGGTCGGTATATACTCCAATAGCAGCAGGCCGCAGAGGAAGGCCGCCTGGCTGGCTGGCGCACTCTTGGCTCTATCAGCAGTATGCGACCGCGCCGCGTGCGACAAACATGGCATTTGGGCTACAAAGGTAACCGCCTGTGTAACAACGACTCCCTCTCGCACCTCTTGACTCCCTGCAGGCTCTATTGCTCTTCCTCACCAACTTCTTCGCCGACAATGAACTACTTGCCAAGCGCCTCGCCCTGCCGACCTACACCGTCCCGGACGACCATGCCCATGCCACCGAGAAGAAACTCCCCGCTGATGCATCAGGTCACATAGATCAGCCCGGGACGTTGTTGGTATTGACCGTTTGCGCGAGCTGTGCCCTGGGCGTCTACACCATACCTACCACCTTTATGCTTGGACTTTGTAGCGCCGTTTTTGCGGCCGTTGGTCTTATTACATTCAGGTCCATAATCGTGACTGTAGCACCGGATGAAGGTGAAGACACCAAGCGCAGGCACACGGCTGGTACTATGGATCTTCGCGCTTCGATATCCGGGGTTCAAAAGGCACAGCGACTGGCGGTGCTGAGAGATGTCGCCGTAGCCATTGCTGTCGTGTGCGGTATTGCATCCATTCTCATGGAGTCCTCAGTATCTGCGAGTAACATCACATGGGAACCTGTGTACCGGGATTACAAGCGCGAATGGAGAGAGGTACACAACTTCCGCATTCTTCAGTGTTTCTTATGGATGCTGCCTGTGACCGCGTTCCTAAATTTGCTCACTTTTATCATGGTATGACATCCTCCCCGAATGCTTCATCTAGGCCTAGATCTTTGGCATTCTCATCTAGGGAATTTTTGAACCAGCTGACTCCCTGCAGCTCTACCTAATAGGCGCTGGACACCTAACTCTAGTAACTGTATTCTCGCTTCTTGGCACGAAAATGTTCTCCGCGCCGTCCTCCTCCTTCATGTTCTTCATGGTCATTTTCGATTCAACTGCCTTAGTCTATCTCTCAGAGAAGCGCTTTCGTGAGACGGGTGAAATGCGACGTTTCAGGGGATTGAGAATTATCACCTTCCTCGCCACTGCTACTGCAGTTGGGGGGCTACTTGTAGGGCGCTACAATGCATCACAAGCAAAGCCAGTTAGATCTGACGGGTTTTTTGTTCCATCTGATGTTGTTTCTGACCCATTGCTGGATCCAATCCCGATGGACATGAGTAAAGGACACCCAGCTGCTCAGCTGATGGATGCGGCTGAAGCAGATTTTCAAAAACTTCTCAATCGACAGTCAAAGTCTCTAGCTGAGGCTGTGGCTGAATACCGCCGTAGGTACGGGATACCGCCGCCTCCACATTTCGATAAATGGTACGAATTTACTACACGAAATGGTGTTGTAATGGTGGATGAATATGACATGATCAATGAGATGCTACTACCGTTCTGGGCGCTGAAGCCAGCAACGATCCGGTCACGCGTTGCGAACGCCCTCGGTCATGAGGACAGTTCATTACTGGCTGTTGCCATAAGACATGGGGCAGTAGAGAACTACCAGAATGGCGAGGAATGGCAGCAACAGGCGACCATTGGCATGATGAAGCAATTCGTACAATACCTGCCCGACATGGACCTAGGCTTCAACTTGCACGACGAACCACGAGTCGTGGTCCCCAACAACCTTCTTTCTTCGATGGTTGCCAAGGCAAGAAACGAAGTTCTTCCACGTTCTGCGAAGAATGCTTCTCCTCGCAATGGGTTTTCTGCTCATCCGGCGGATTTAAATGATGGCACTCGATTTGTTGAAAGCAGCACGACCAAATTCAATCGCTTCGCACATCAGCAGACCTGGACTCATTCGAGATTATCGTGCCCTGCCGACTCACAGGCCCAGACTTTTGAAGACGATGCTGCTGACAACCGCAAGGTCTATGCCGCCAGTGATCTAGGTTTTGTTTACAATACGACCGCCTTCTCCGACATTTGCAATTCTCCATCGCTCTCCTCGACATACGGATTTTTCGAACGACCCAACGCTTTCAATATCATTCACGAGCTCACACCTGTATTCTCACAGTCCAAGATTTCCAGCTTCCAGGATATTTTGTATCCGAGCCCGTGGTATTGGATGGGCAAGGTAGGCTATGACGAAACGCGCGACACAACCTGGGAAAACAAAACGAATAGTCTTTACTGGCGCGGCTCTACAACGGGAGGCTTCAGTCGTAATGGTGGCTGGAGACGCCAACACCGCCAACACGTTGTCCGACGCCTCAATGCACCAGATACAGCTCAAATTCTGGAGCCAGTTCGCGGCCCGTCTAAGGCTGGTGATACTATAACCAACTATACTATTGCCGAGGTTGATCGCAGAGCTCTGAAGAACCTCATAGATGTGCAGTTCTCCCACATCGGCCAATGCGACCCTGGCGACTGCGACGCCCAACAAGAGTTCTTCAAAGTAACCGAACGCGTCGACGGCCAAGACGCATGGTACTACAAGCACCTCCTCGACATGGACGGAAACGCCTTCTCCGGCCGCTTCTACAGCTTCCTTAAAAGCAAAAGCCTCACCTATAAAATGGCCCTCTTCCGCGAATGGCACGCCGAATGGCTCAAACCATGGGTCCACTATATCCCCCTCAGTCTCCGCGGTGATGAGCATCTCGATCTTGTCCGTTGGTTCAGCGGCACCAAAGTATCCGATAAGGATGGAGATGGCAAGTTGGATCATAGCGATGCAGATGGTGGCAAAGTTGGGGGGAATGGAGATAGTGAGGGGGAGAAGAGGGCGCGACGGATTGCGAAGAGGAGTACAGAGTGGCATGATAAGGTGCTTAGGAATGTGGATTTTGAAGCGTGGTTTTTTAGGCTATTGTTAGAGTATGGGCGTGTGGTGGATGACAAGAGGGAGGAGATTGGGTTTCCGGGGCCGTGAAGAGAAAGAGAAAAAGATGTGAGAAGGGGTAGGGGGAGGGTTTCTCTTTTTTTTCTGATCTGGATTGGGTTGGATCGGACTGGACTGGACTGGACTGGACTGGAGCTTTTTTTGCATCTTGCATCTGAGGGAGGGGTGTTAGAGATAGATTGGCATGGTGTGGAGTTGTTTCATATCGTATGTCAGGAACTCGAGGCTAGTTTTTTTTTTTGAAAAAAAAGACAAATGGCATCCCGAGACTTGGTCTGTCATTTTCTTTTTGGTTTCTGCTGATTGAGCAAGAAGAATTCGTCTGATTAGTGATGGGCTTGGTATCAATGGCGGATCAAGGAGTTTTCCTCATCTTCTTTACTCCTTTCGCTGAGTTTTCCAAGTACGAATGCCAAGAATGAGGAACACGGTTTTTTGATTGCAGCGTTATCAACAAGAATGTATATGCTCGGTCCTCTTCATTCTCTCTTTCCTACACGTTGTCATTAACAGATTTTTTACTTAAAAGCCTGGTGCTGTACGTAAAAGTTGTAAACCTCCCCCTCCCTAAGAAGTAGTCTTTGCGCAAAGAATGACTGAAGTATGTGATTTAGCATTTTGATGAATTTGAACAAGAGATTTACTTCTAATTTTAGGCGTTTGGCTTGGCTGGGTCTTACTGAGGATGGTATGTAGCGTATATGTATTGAGAGATTTGTTGGATTGTGTGTATTTAACATCGCCTTCGCCCTTAAAATTCTTTTTGCTAAGAAGACTGTTGGGTGCTGTTTGATCAGTGTTTGTAGGTGAAAGTACTGCACGTTTGTCTTTCTCCCTTTTTTTGTCGAATTACAGGAGGTACAAAGATTGTTGGAGGTGAGGCTCCGACTGGTTGAAATGTACAGACGCTTTTGATTAAGGAGGGAGAAGAAGTTGATATTTTCGAATCATATTTTGGGAAGGGGTACGATAGCTATGAAGATAGCAACGAAGAATTGTACGCGTCCATTGACACTCTTGGTGGAAAACTGTTCTGCCAGGATACTAGGTTAGTCGTGTTGTTGTCTAGCCTATATGTAGATACAGTCCCCTAAGATAAGTGATTTACATGTTTTTCATACATTTAGATTCAGGCACAGTGTGAATTGCTACTATCTAAGATGGGTTTCGTGATATCTATTCTCCGTTCAACGAGATACTGAAAGTTCCAAAATCACACATGTTGCATTGGAGTAGATATTAATGCAAATTGTTAACTGATAATAATGTGTGCTAAAAACTTTCGTTATATTTTCGTGATGTGGTGGACATTCGTTCGGAGTGACAACTTCTTAGTTGAGAGTCTTCTCGCACTTCGAAGTATAATGCTATGCTCCAGCATGGTTTGGTACTGTAAATGACGTGTTTTGTTATGCTATCTCATCGAAGACTGAGATAAATTGGTATTTACTACTCAGAATTGAATTATTTGAACATGTCGAGCTGCTCTTCGCTCACTCTCTATACAGTCTCAGAGGTCAACGACTAACATCATAAGTTCAAGAAACCGTACCAGAATCCACACTCTTGCTAACCATTCCCAAAGATTGTTGTTCAATAGCGACACATTCTGTTCCTAGTGAGCTATAGCCAAACCTTCAATAGTCTCGGGGGGTTTCTTTTGCAAGTTATTATCAAGTTCCAGGTCGACACAACCCTCTACTTCCAAGTTTCGGCGATTTGTTATATCATCCTAGGAAATCTATCGTGACATCATTCCTGAACCTATAACTTGGGCGCGAGTATGTTGCTTGCAATGGAGTTATGTGTATATGTTGATTTGGAAGTGTATATCGTACGATTGTCCATAAAGGCGATGAGACTATCGGCTTCCGACATCGGCCAAGAGGGATCCAAAAACTTGGGTATCACTGTTCGGGAGCATGGTTCCGTATTCCCCCTTGTCTCTCCCTGTTGTCACATATTTCTATATCTCAACCCCTGCACAGTTGTATGACTACTCACAATCAAAATCAAGGATATTCAGTATATACTTCCTTCTCTGGCTTTGTTAATGCTCACAATAAATGATGATGTACTTTCATTCAATCACATGCATTAATATCTCATGCAAAACTTGTCGCCCTGACAATGTACTGAGTTGTGTCGACGGACATGGTATAACAATATCATAAGATGCAGCCATATTGCTCAAAAGCTAAATAATACACAATCCTCAATACCTGGGGTAACGCCGATAGATCTAGAGCGCTCTGTCCAACATGCTCCTCGTCTCGAAGTCTGGGGACCGATGGATCTACGGGACAATCTCGTCCCCGACTCCGAGACACATAGTTCCAAAGACGAAAACTTTGCTTACTGTTACATTGGTTAGGCCAGCCATTAAACGCGCAAGCCTCAGTCCGTTTCATAGCTGATCAGTGGGGACAAGACTTGCGCACGGCGTAATACCGGCCGTGTGAAACTTTCAGTTATGTATGACATATGCGCTTCGGACCGAAAGCCACAACACGACGCGGCCGGAGTTCCCGTAACAGGGGCATCGGCTCTCACTTCACTTTCGAGTCGATTTCTCTCGCCATACTTACCTGCTCGCCTTAGGGGGAAATTATGCGATATGGACGCTGATTCGCTGTTATGACTAGGAGGAGAGAAGGATCATACCCTGGAGCGTCTTGACATGTATACACTGGGACAATGGTCTGACGGCGAGTCACATCTGTAAGGAAAACGAGTCGTATCGTTCTCTGTCGTTATGGTCACGGGGTCTAACTACATACCTTGCTTTGCTGACAAGGGCAAGGGGAAAAGACTCAAATGACATGGCTCGGGGCACAAACTGAGGACAAGGTGTATAGAAAGTCCGGATTGAAACTATATCTGCTGCTTGTTTTGCTCTCTTATGCTAGTATACAAGCATTTTCTCAAGATTGAATGAGAACCCCCGCAAACCTTATTAGGACCCTCTTTCACGAATAACCACAGGTTTTATATTCCTCAGAAGACGGTCCGAAAATGTATTTTATCCTATTGGAAGAATATCCTTCAATGCTGTAGTACTTTTTGGGAGATCATTGCGCGGCATTGCGGAAGCAAAACCTATTCTACTTTTACGTTGTAGGGGTGATCACGAAGAACAGCTCCCCAGTCCGTTGTGCGGTCATAGAGAGATAATATGTGACTTTATCGAGAATCTGCTGACAGTTGATCGGCCGGCTATGCATGCAACACGGGACGAGTTTACAATATCGGTCGAGTTCCACGATGATCTGGACTCCAAGTAATAGTTCTGGTAATAATGAATGTGAAGCAGAGGCATCTACGCTGGCAATTTCCCGCCAGTAGATTCCACCACAGAGGTAACGTCTTCTTTGAGCTCTGGGATAGCATTCGAGACTTGCCAGGCTAATTGCTCTTGCAACATACGGTATGCATCGATGCGGCCGTTCAGCATCTGATTCATCCGCTGCACAGTTTCCACAAACTCGCGAGTGAAAATATCAGGGTTCCTGGAGTTCTCGACATAGGACATGACTTCAGGTGGTATATCGATTTGTACAGAAGGTGCAGTCCTCGATAACTTTACTAAGTTTTGCACCAGCGACTGGCTGTATACGCGTCAGCTACACATAAGTTCAAGTTACAGAACTCTTCACGCACATCTCACGCTTCATAGCCTCTTGTGTCGTGTTGCCATGGTGATCATATGCTTGTACAATAAGATTGTAGAGGTTTTGAACAATGTCTTTCAGTTGCGCTTCGACCTCGACTATCACCGCTAAGAAGAGCATGAGCATATTGAACCAGTAGTATGCTTGGCTACCTACAATCTGAATTTGGGGTTGTCATGTTGATGTTGACCGTGAAGGTTGTGAATGAGCGTTGGCGCGTGACAACGTGACGACGTGACACATAGGTTGGAGGTGCCAAGCTTCGGCTAGACTTACCAGCCTTGATGATCAGCTAGCGTCATAGCTCACTTTACATTCACCTTTCAACAACGACCTTCACCTCGACCGCACAGCAAACCTTCGTCACGTATTAAAAGATTTGCTGAGTGTAGGCAATAATGAGAATCTTCCTACGATGGCGGAGAGCATGATCCAGGATTCCGATGTCCCTCTTTCGCAGCCACCAAGCCTTCGGGCCTCAGCACCACCTACTCCAGGAACTACAGGGAGCAACCTCCATAATCATCTTCGTGCCACAAGCCCAAATCGACTAGCTGATTCTCAGAAGCTTCGGTTAGATCCTACCTCGGACAAAGCGACTGCAGCGTTTATTCGACGTACGCTGTGCTCCCACAATGTGCTACTTGGCAACGGTGAGAAAGGACGCAGTACACCGCGGCCGATTGAAGATGTGCTACCTCCCTTGACAAGCTCAAATGCGGTCGATCTTCAGTTATACGGAGTCATTTCTGTGATCATCAAGGAGTTTGTACAGACGTGGTACTCAAAGATCACTCCAGACCAAGTATTTGTCAATGAAGTGATTCAGATCATTGCTCATTGTACCAGAGGTCTTGAGCAGCGCTTACGAAAAGTCGATTTGGAATCACTGTTGCTAGACGAGATCCCTGAGTTACTTGAGTCCCATCTAAGGTGTAGGTGATTCCGATCCTGGACTATTGCATGAAGTGTGTCTGACACTCTGTGGCTAGCCTTTCGCATAGCGAAGCGACAAGCCACCTCGTACGATTCACTAATATCAGACCCGCGTACAATCTACCATACGCTCCACCCGCACCCTGCACTCTCGCCTGTTCCAACGGATATGATTCCGGCCTCAGTTGTTGAACAACGGGAAAGTGAATCAGCATGGCGTCAACTGCTTGTTCACGGCGTATTGGCTCTACTTCTACCCACTGAGGATCTAGAGAATGGATGTCTTCGCGCACTAGTTGCCGAGATCTTTGCGGAAATGATCCTCGGAAACGGCATTAGCGGGAAAGCCTGTGAGGGCTGGGTATTATGGGAGGGTATTACAAGAATAGCTGAAGTGCTACAGACGGACGCTACGAAAGAGAAGGACTCCCAATCAGAAGGTTCTAATGGAGAGCAATCACTGACCCGTCTGGAACGCTACGGGCTTTTGCCGCATGAAGGGACGGAAGCTATATCGACAGAGCGATTGGACGCTGAACAGCAGCGCCCTAGGCACTCGCTAGCATCGACGGTGGGACTTTTCTGGGCTGTTGTCCAATATGCATTCATGGCGTTTACTGCGGCGCGCGCAGTGATCTTGTGTATTGCGACATCATCTTCTCTCCCGTCGAGATATGTCACAAGCGAGCAGTCATCGGGCCAAGCGCTTGGCCAATTACAAATGCCGCAAACAGAAACGACGACGTCAAGGCGCCCGTTGGGTGCCAAACGGCCCGTAGTGAGTATGGCGCTGTGGAGCTGTGCAGCACAGGTTGTTGAATTAGATAGCCGCATGCCTTGGCTGTCAGGTTTCACTTCAATGCTCCATCGTGGAGCCTTGGTCGGTCCAGGCAGGGTGGGTGAGACGGATGGTGTGTTGGACAGGTGAGTTACGATAATATCTTCTTTTTCCTCTCGATGCCGTGGTTGGCCAGTGGTCGGGGTGGTGCTGGTCCGTGCGACACAGGGCGAGATAGCTCCGCATGCGATTTCGGTCACTTGACTTGGCTTCAGCGAATGCGACGGCCCGCAGGCTCACACACCGGAGTATCCTTGCCGTGGCGCATTGTCTCATGCAAGCCTCAGCACCCGTTCCGGGCGGCAACTCGACACGTTTTGGACATCGCGACTTGGCACTTTTGGCCCCTCACTTTTGCCAAACACCACCGCGCAACGCACGATGCTTGCAAATGGGCCCAGACAAGTCTGCAGCGCGACTTTCCGTCAGCCAACAGGACAACATGGGAGCCTACAAAGGGTCTGCAGACCCTAGGCCGTCTCACCGATCGTTCTCCTCACGCCTGCCCGTACTGAGTGTGGGTTCCGGCATTGGTCAAAAAAGATCCCGACCATGCCACCATGACCGGCGCCAGCTGACATCGCCTCGAAATTCCGTCTTTGCATCTTAGCGGCCTGCAACTCGAGTGCCATCGCCTTGCCGTACTGGCAAGCATGCGCTTCGCTCGTCCGATGCATTGAAGCATTCGACGAATAGCCCAGAACCCGACCTTTTGGGTGCGGCTTGAGCTGACTGCGACTGCTTGAGTTGCGCTCTTGTACAACCAGTCAATTTCGATTGACATGGGCATTCGCCTCACTTTGTGAACCACATCAATATCCCTCTCCACCTTCGCTCGACCCATTGGCTCTATGCGCCTGGTCTCCGTCATATTCAACCACCAGCTACCTGTCCCGCGGCCTAGGTTGTCCATCGAGGCCGATACACACATTTGTCCTGTTCCCGCACCAATTGCCTTCATATGTCTCCATCGTATTGCGGACACTAACCACGAGCATCTGCAGATTTCTCTCCAACACTATACGCACCAGGATCTTGAACCCCGCTTTCCTACCAGTGGCGCTTCGCACCTTTCGTGCTACCATTTTCCCCAATAACACGCTTGGGCCTCCACGCCAAATGCCAACGGACGAAGAGATCAAGACGATCAAGCACTGTTGTGCCGCTACACTCCTCAATCTAGTCCCAGCTAAGGTAGCAGCAACTTTCTTTGCGAGCGATGAGTGCGAGTCTCAGACTCAGCAAATCGAAGACGTTCTAGGCTGTCTCGATGACACGTATCTCAACAAGCACCTGATTTTCCAGATTGTGGAATTGATTGTCCTGCGTCTATTCCCGGAATTAGGGGAGCAAAGCGTAAAGGATCTTTTGGAAGAGCGTATCAGCTGAGACAATGGCATTTTCACCGTCATGAATTCGCAACTGAAGTTGAAGACCCGCTCTTCTGTTGCCAGGCGCCGAACAAAGTCTCACCGCTCAGTGTGTGCGAACCGCTGGGCGCGGCCCGTCGCGCGCTTGTCACTGCTTCTACCTTGTCCAGGTGACCGCTAGATTCATGACTTGGGTTCCTGGTCGCATACATGCTTCCTCTGCAGGTCTTTCCTCGTATGGGCGCAACAACAGCGACAACCGCAACTACATGATGTACTGTCATGTATTACCAACTCACCGCGCATCCCGTAGTGAGACGTAGTAAATACACCGCTGCTCCTTGTAAAGAGGGGGTTTGGCCAATCAAAAAATTCATCCGCAAAAAATTGTTGAGGCACATGGCGTCCAAACTGCGGGCTGGCTGCATGCAGCGGCGACCACCTGACTATTCAGGCTATTGCCGAACGGAAACTACGAGAAGTGTATTACGAGATACCCCACAGTATTACCCTAACCTCGAACCAATCTCGAGCAAAGTTACCCTCCATTACGTCTGCTGCAAAGCGGATGTTAGGAGATATCGTCATGTAGCAGGGGAACAGCAGTCTAGTGCACGTGTATGAACAGCGCTTGGACAGCCCATATCTCAGCCGCTCGGGGAGCGCGACGGTCCGTGTCAGTTCGACAACTGCGCGGGGATAAATCAATCGCATACAACCGGCAGCCCTAAGAAATCGATATTGGACGGTAAACGATACGGTATGGCAACAGAGACGGTCTCTGCTATGCCTTTGTTCAATCGGACCAGCCTGCCTACCTTGAATATACATTCACGTGCCAAAGTTGGCTTGTCGCAGTCCCACTCCTCCTTGCATTGAAGCCCCACAGCACGACATGTATCTGATAGCGGGTCTGGTTCGCGGTGCTATCGTGAACCATCGCTCGCCGCGGAGCATTTATGTCGCCACCAGTCTTTCCTCGACTATTTCTAGCGAATTCAAGCGGTTTCAATTCCAAACACATGAAATTTCTACTCCCGATCAAGTTCCAAATATGCAATTGCTACAACCTGTTTTGGCTGAAGCCACGGTGGACTGTAAAGCTCTGGGTTTCGAAAAAACTACCCCGCATGCGCTTGAGTACAGGCCTTAATCGACAATTACCTATCGCTCTCGCCGGGGTTACAGCACAGCTGTACCTGACAAGTCGTACCTGGAGAGCCTGATGGTGTGATCATACTGTTTCAAGGCATTGGTGTCCGGTTGGGCAGCAGTTGCGCGGAGGCCGTGGTGGCCGTGATGGCCGGGGCTGCCTCCTCTTGCGGCGCAGCTCTGCATCTTGAGGCTTTCACCCTTTCTAATCCTATCGTATAACGCGCGCGCGTTGAGGGCGCGTGCGTAGGATTCAGGTCTGCACATGCCCGCTTTTCTACATGTCTTTGTCGGCGAAACTTACATGTTGACTGACTCGGTGCTCAAGGATAATCGTTGAAACGTTGATCCTTTGAACTCCCGAGGCAGACAGGGAAGCCTGTTTCGGCAGCACGTTGTGAAGCCGCGCGATGCGCACTATGGAAAGAGCCACGACCCTGGAGGCGCTCACTATCTCAGGATTTCGCGAGATGCAACGTCGCCCGTCCCTGAGTGGCGTTTGGGCCAGGGATGTCTAGTAAAGACCAGCAACCCTTCTTTTTGCACGGCCCTAGCGTCGTGAACACTCCAGCATCTACCATGCTCTCTCTCGCTAACCGATTGGTGATCAAGGGGCGTAATGGGCAGCAACGCTTCTCTCTCAACCCATGTTTCAACGGTTAAACAGCTTGAAAAGCCACTTGAAGACGGAAGCGGGGAAGTTGACTCGGGAAATGCAAAACATCACCCGTAGCGGGCAATTACTGTTTGCGGAATCGAAGCCTCGCCACCCTTTGTGGGGTGGGTATGAGGTTCCAATAGTGCGGCGTACGGCAGACTTACAGCAGCCACTTCGGATGAAACAAGCAGCTACGGCATTGCTAGTCGTACGCCTCACTCAATAATGAGGCAGAATATTAGATGATGAGCGAGGGATGAGCTGTTCGCTTGCAGTGTATCGTATGATAGCAGTCGGCGTCTAAGTGACAACGGGAGATGAGCATGACGCACATTCTGTCAATGCAAATCTTGCTGCTAGTTCGCCACATGATAGCGAGTCATGTTTTCTGCTCGACGTGAGTTGCACTTGCAAGACCAGTTCATGCAAAATTGGCTGGTTAGCGACTGAGTGGTATTCTCTAGGTAACCGGAGAACAGACCTGACAGGGAGTGCAAGGCGGCATGGACACGTCAACCACTGACGCATGGGTAACACTGTCATTTCTATATGGAACAGTAATGCACACTGCGTATGCAATGCGTAGATGCCGTTGCGAGATTTCTGCCATTCAGATTGATCCTATTCTGCCGCCAATTCCACAGCTAGCAATCTGTGTCTTATCGGCCACACGTGACACGACCACTCGGCGCACTCTGAGAATTATGTGAATGTGACTTTGTACGTGGCTGAGAGCAGTCCAGAAGCTTGTCCGTGTTACGCGCATGTGCCAAAACTGCCATCAACATGTCACCCGAGAGCCCAAAAAAATCCAGATGCCGGGATACTGTTGCTCCAAGAAATTCTGCTTGTCAGCCTGGTTCCGCGCGCAAACCCCCCTCTTCGGCCTCCCCATGCTACGTTGCACAGCATAGAAAGCTGGTCACGTGGGTGCCGCTAGTACAACGCAGGTACCACGACGTGAAGAGAAAAGGAGCCAACGAGAACATGGCAATTGTGAAGTTTTGCCCATCTGGTATTGTTCCCTGAACCAATTCTTGCCAGCGCATTGTGCATTGTGGATTGCGCGTTCGACCGCCCATCTAGACCCCACTGTGTGTGCGGGGGAGCCGCCTAAACTCGGAAAGAACATGCTTTTTTATCTTTAACTTTTGTTTTTGCGCAACAGGCTTTATTGGCTGTTGTGGCGCAAAGCCGAAGCGACATCTTCTTGTTGTAGATCAAGAAAGAATAGGCTATCCCAGCCGTGTACGTTTGTGTGTGTGTGTGTGTGTGTGTGTGGAGAATGAAGCACGGTAATTGAACGTTTTTTTTTTTGCTTTGCACCTTGTGTAATGGCACGTTTTGTCAAACGACTTTTTCATTTTATTATCTTTTTTGGTTCCAGCTATTCGTATGCGATTTTCTTTTCACCCGAGGCACCCAAACGCGTTCATTCGTATTCGCCTAGTAGCCTTCTTTTTTCTTTCTGATTCCCCTTTGGCGCTTGCAAGTGCAAGCGCGCCGAATTCGATCATCGAGGGGCTTGATCTTGCATGCGCATCGCGAGGACGCGGAGTCGGGGACGCGGAGTCGGGGACGGCGCCTAGTAGCATCGAGATCTCTACGTACATAGATATAAGGGCCGAAGAGTGCATCTCCACTTGCGCGCGACGGAAGAGTCAAGAGTAGATACGTAGATACGTAGATGTGTGGATATGTAATTATGCATACTTTTGTGAAGTGCAGAACTGGGCCCTCGGCCGTTATGACAGGTGCGTAAGACAAGTAGCGTCATCCATGTTGCACATGCAGACTGTCAGGTCGACCCGCGCGCCGCGGTCTCGCGCCTCGGTACGTGGAGCGAGAGAAGAAAAAGAAGGTCAAGGAGAAAACGCTGTATTATGACGAAATGAAGAAAAAGTGCTCGTATTTCCTCCTACTACTGAACCTTGCACGCGACTGCATGATACTAGTTGAAGACTGCATTCTGATATGTACTATCTACTATGTACTACTGCTTCAAAGAACGCAAGGAAAATAGACGCCTCATACACTGCATCGATCCTTCTTCTACTGTAAAACAAGGCAATCCATATCCCCATTTCACACAAAGCCCCACTCACAAATACTAGCAAGGAAAGCAAGAAAGCAAGAAAGCAAAGCAAGTAAAAAGATTCCTAGGTACTTGCGAATACGAAGCGCAGTACAGACAGTCAGCCCCGTACCTATCTTACTCAACCTACAGTCCCCACAGTACCTACATACCATGCCCAGTACCCACACCCACCCGCGTAACTGGGAACACCACAAAAAAAGGGGCCAAAAGCAAAGATTGCCCATCACTATGCCGAAATGGATGCCGAATGCGGCCATGTGTAGTCTGAGCGGAAGGGCCGGGTTGTGGGGATTTTGTGACTTGCTTTTTCCTTCGCCATGTTGCTCAGGTTAGGTGCATCTTCGGGGGCTTGATCGCATGTTGCTTTTGGTAAAACGTCTTTTTTTTCTGGAGCTATTTCCCTTCATTTCCGTTTTCAGCTTTCCGTTTTAGAAGCTTTATTCGGGATCCGAAGGGGGGAAGAAGGGGGGGGGGGGACAGTTCGGCGAATTTAAAAGTAAATCTCAAAGAAAAAAGATGACTCGCTTGGTGTTAAGTACAGATCATCTAGCTTTTTTGCGCCATCGCCCAAACCAGCAGTACATGTACATCTTTACCAAGCAAAAATGTCCCAAGGTGGAATATATGAGGTTTTTGCAGTGAAGAAAAAAACAACGCCAGCAACTTGCAGTAAACAGAAAAGCGAAAAGATTTAGCTGGTTTCGGCAAAACGGGCTACCTGCATTAGTAGACCATGTTTTCTTTCTTTTTCTTGCTTCCTTTTTTGCTTTTTTTTTTTTCCAACAACCACGCTCCTTAAGCTCCGAAGCGAAATGTACGGCAGATAGAGTAGCAGAAGCAAAAGCTAAGAATGGAAGCGAACGCGTTTTACTTGTGAGGAAAAGAAAGAAAGAAAGACATGCAACATGCAACATGCAACACGCTACATGTGTAAAAGTCATACTTACTACAAGCTTAATACTATACCCTATCCTATAACGTACAATGCCAAACTAAGTAAAACCTGTCACTCGGGGGGGGTAGATCTTGATTTCCGCCCCCCTTCCCCTCGCCCCCACTCTCGGCATATATATTCAAATAGCTACACATCATTTCTCGGCGGCCGAGAAAAAGAGAGAAAGAATGGGGAAGGGGCGCGAAAGGGAGCAGGGTGTTCGATAATAGTAAAAAAAAACACCCCCCACGACTCGCGTTGATGGATCACTATTTACTATAGCCTTTTTTTGAACCTCAGCAAAGCCCAAAACAGAGCCGATCTGACACAAGAGACAAGACGAGCAACAAATGCTGCATCCCACCCAAAACGGTCGCGCGCACAAACCCCACCCGTCCCAATCCGTCGCAACACACACATGCACACACATGCACACACAGACACACGCCCATCCGTGCGTCCGCAGCGCCCCCCCACCCCGTCCGTCTGTTGTCGTCGTCGCCCCTACGCATAGACGACCCTGATTCCCCTTTGCCTAGTAGTGATCATGATTCGCTACATACTCTGCCCCCACTCCCCTTCACCTCACAATCTCCCCTTTGCAACACTATTCTTACCTTACCTTTACCGATTTACCCTTCCTTCCTTCCTTCCTCGCTCCTCCTCCTAACCCCCAAAAAAAAGAAACGCACACACCGCTCTCCGTTCCCAACGGGCGCCAGTGCTTTCCCCGTGGCTTGAACTAACAAGCGAGCGAGCTGCGCCAAAAAAAGCAAATAACAAGATGGGAAACCCGCTTCTGGGCAGCCCTTTTATTTTTTGACTTTTTGCGCGTTTGCTGGTGCTGGCTGCGGCTTTGCCCGCCCTGCCCGCTTAGCTCCCCCGTGTTGTCTCGAACGTGCTATTCGGGGAGCCGGGAAGGAAGGAAAAGGCGCGCCGCCTCTTTGTGTTACTCTACATACCGATAACTAACGTACGTACGTACGTGCCGTCAAACAAGCCCGAGAAAAGCAAAAAGGGCGTTGTGAAAAAATCTTTCTTGAACTCTAATTCTTCTTGCTCTTGCCGTGTCGTTGCGTGTCTGAAACCAAGGGGCAACAAGACAAAGTGTTCTAGATGAGATGGGGGAAAGGGGGAGGACGGGAACAACATGTCATTGTTGAGACAAACGACGTAGCTGATTTGAGATGTGTACAAGTTTCCTTTCTTCGTCTCGTCTTCGCTTGTCTGTTTGAGAGCGATGTCATGGACGTACATCACGCCAGGGGCCTGATATGTTTGAGAATGGAGAAAAGGTGTGTGTGTGGGTTTGGGCTGTCGTCATCTGTGTCGCTTGTAATTATAGAAGTAAAGTAGCTTCTGTCTCGGTTCTCGCTGTTCGTTCCCCCCTCGTCAAGGGTATGTTCGGCAAATGTGTGAGTGGGTAATCTCGTTTCTTGTTTCCTTTCTTCTCTTTTCGCCTTTTGTCTCGGGGGTTGGAAAAGAAGAAAAGGCAGGGCAATGTGTTAGGAGTGAGGAGGGTCAGTGCTTCGGGACCAGGGGTTTGTAGCTGCTGCTGCCAACGGCGGAGGAAAGAGAAGGGCAAAAAAGAGCCGCCTGATACCCCCCATTGGCCTATTTGAACGGCCACTTGCAGTGTACACTAGGGATGGATAGACACGCCCACGTTGAGGGGAGCCTTCGGGATGGACTTGCTCAGTGTGGCTAATCTCCGGCACGATCAACATACAGGTAGGTACCTTTACGTGGATGTTTTGCTACCTTGCGCCCATCCCTTGTGCAAACGGGGGGCCCTGCGTGCGTGCGCGGGCGGTCGAGGTGGCCGGAAGGCGCACGGACTTGTAGAGACCGAGCGGCAAGTACCATCTGTTCACAAGCGCAGGCTCGTACGTATGGCGATCAGTCGAGTGCGCCAGTGCGCCAGTGTGTCAGTGCTCTGCTCCCGCACCAAACACCCCAGCGCTGCCGACTAAGGATTAAGGTCAAGGAAAATGACTAGCAGTTAAGGACAACAGGCACAATCGTACGCGGTCGTACTAAGCATTAATAACATTTCAAAGCATAAAACAACCCTTACATTCGGCCAGTAGGCTCGGCAAGGGGGTTGAGCAACTGTATCGAGCCACTTATGGGTCACAACGACGTGTACGAAACCCTTTGCTCCCTTCACACTCTGTTACTCCAAACTATAATGTCGCCATACCAAGCAAATATGAAATCAATAATGGAGACACTAAGGTAACGTGTACAGGTTAATGGCCCGCGCGAGCGGTTACAATCTTCTTTTGCTAAAGGAATGAGTCGGAAATTGGGCTGTGTGCCAGTGTGCTGCTGTTGCGCGCTGCCAAAGTGGGGGTATAGTGGTTCGTCGAGCGATACGAAAATGAGAAAAATAACAAGCCAGACAGACAATAGAAAGCACGTAGTAAAAGAGAGAGAGAGAGAGAGAGAGAGAATAAGTTGAAAAAAAGAAAAGAAAAAGAAGAATGCTAATAATGCGGAGATGAAAATGCAGTGCATCAGAGTAACAGAAGGAAAAAAATCAAAAAGAAAAAGAGTGGCTCCAATGAGCAATGTTAGTCGTTTGGGCAGGGTGCATCGAAAACCCTTGGCTTCATGATCCAGGAGCCTTTACAATCCTGCCATCCTGAAACCAAGCGAATCGACAAAAGCCGTTCCACGGAATAAAGTAAATCATAGGCGCATTAAGAGCGCACAGGGCCAGACATGATACCGAGTGACGCAGCCGCCTCATTAGTGGATCGCGTCGATGCTCTCAAGCTTGCTGGTGGCAAAGTTGGACTCTGACACCCGTCGCATGTCAGAGGACAAGCCCTCGGAGTCGCGCTTGATTCGCAGCTTCTCCATGAGCTTGCCAATTGTAACGTATTCTTGTGGCTCCACCACGAAACCTGCGTTTTGCGACTGGAAGAAGCTCATGACGAGCTCCAGGGCCCGCGCTGCTTCCTCTTGCGATGGTGTCATGGACAACGAGTCGGTACATGACGAGCACTTGTCGTCCGCTTGGCCCGACGTAGCCGGTAGGGGAGGGGGTTGCATCGAGTTGGGCAGTTGTGTAGGCGATAGTGACATGGATTCGTCAATGGCGGGTAGAGTGCCAGGCATATCCGCCATGGGCGAGTCGAGTGTGCCGCTACTGACGTACTTTGGAGTCAATGCATCTGAGGAGCCCGGGGGTGACATGTATTGCTCCACGCCCACAAGCATGGGGAAGGTCTGGCTTCGCGGCCGCTGAAAGTTGCCTGACCCGGGCTGTCCGTTGGCAGGCTGGCGATTCGCCATGAATGGGTTGTTCTGTCCACAGGCCGAGTCTGGTGTGAAGAATGGCGACGAGAGCGATGTAGGACTTGTGGGGCCGCCTGAAAAGGTCGAGGGTGCATTGTCTGTGAAGACGCTCGACAGTGAAGTACTACTCTGGGAATGGAAGGGCCTGCGGTGGTTTCCAAAGTCATATGTGTCTGGGCTTTCGGTCTTTAGGTTCTCTTCGCTCTTCTTAGTCTTCATGGTTGTAGTGGCTGGTGATACTCCACCTGGCGAAGTTGGTGAGATGGCGCTGGGAGTATGCGCGTTGGACGGCGGATTCGAAGTTCCCTCGGACTCTTCTGCTATGGAACCCTTTCTTGACTTTGCACCCATGAGGTGATTCTTTTGCTTGAATTTTTCCAGCCAGCTGGTGCTGTTGGCCTTGAGGTGGCTGTCCGAGTTGCCGACTGTCTGTGCAAAGAAGCGTGCCTTGTCGCGGATAATGGCATCCGATAGCGGTAGGCCCTGCCTTTGGTGGTTTCTCGCCCAATTTGAAAGTGCACGCTCAATGTCGGGAAACTTGCCCTTTGATCTTTTGATGGGCGATCGGCTGCCATCATCTTGGTAGAGGTACTTTTCTTTTTGGCGCAAGACTTTGGAAACGGTACTACACAGCTGTTAGCAGGGCGGAAAATGCACAAGGCAAATGCAGTTGTACCTTCGCTCTACGCCAAACATTGCTAGATTAACGTCAGTGATGCACTGAGGGAAACACAGGCTGGGGCTCATGGGCTGGGCGTACCTCCAATTTCCGTTTGCTTGACTGTGGGGTTGTCCTCGTGGTACTGGCACATGCGCCTGCGGTCTGCGTCTGTAAGGGTCTTTCGAGGCGTGGATGAAGTGCGGGACTGGGTTGAAGTGGCGGAGACTGGGGTTGCTGAAGCGGGTGTAATGGGGGGAGGTGCCGAAGGGAAGAGCGGAGCCTGATATGTCGACTGGCTGGTGAGCATGCTGGGCCATTGCGGCATCTGGGGCATGATCAGGGGCTGCAACTGAGGGTGTGTGTTTCTCGGAGTCTGGTGGGCTTGGTGGGGAGGGTGCATGCTAGTGGCATAGATGGGTTCCATGGGAAGGGGCGGATAGGTTGCGAAGCCATTGTAGTCCTGGACAGGCGACTGGTGGTGGGGATTGTAGGGAGCATCTGGGCGCCAGGCCGAATGTTGGTCCTCAAAGGGCTCCTGGTGGAGGTGATGGTCGTGATCCATGTGCAGTTGACTCATGACGATCTGTTCGAAGGGAATGGATTATTGCAGGCGGGATGGGGGCACAAGCGTGGGAGCAAGTGTCCGTGTTATACAGAGGTCAGAGGAAGCAGAGGGCTTGAGGCATATGCATCTAGGGCGTGGGGAGAGTTGTGGTAGTAGTAGTAGTAGTGGTGGTGGTGTAGCGAGGGCGTGCATGCATGGGACGCGGATGGGATGGGTGGGTATGTAGTATGTAGTATGAGTGGATGGGTGGGAATAGGTATGTATGTATGTATGTATGTATGTATGTACAGCAGGTAGGTACAAGGCGGGTGGAGAGGATGGCTGATGGCTGATGGGGCGAGGGTTGCAGGGAAGGGCTGGCGCGTACTTGAGGACAAGTCTGGGGACGGTGGTGGTCGCAGGGCCCTGGGCGGTGCCATGCGGGCGCGGCCTACCGCAGCTGGCGGGAGAGGACGCCCTGTTTGTTTCGAGCCCAAGGTTGCCGGCAAGCCTGGCGGCCTGGCGTGTGCACACACAGACACAGACGCACACACACAGACCCTAACACCCACATCCACCACATCCACATGCACCCACACCCTATCCCCAAATCCCTGTCGCCGTCCCGGCCAAGCGACGAGCTGCAACGTTGGGCTTAGCGCGTGCGGGTCTCTCATCGCGGATGCGCCCCTAGGAAAACGCGGGCCAGAGTTATGCGGCCGCCGGGGCTAGCTCGCCGGTGCATGCCTCGACCGCGACCATGTCAGTAGTGTACTTACGTATGTATGGATGGACGCGCCCACGGCCGTAGCTACAGTGTACCGACCATTACTGCATCATGTATGTACGGCATGGTACCTGCTGCTACTTGCTTGCTGCTATTGCTGCTCTGCTCATATGGCCAAAATGCCTCCCCTCTCACCCCGGCTAATCTGACGCATCCCCACGACCACACACACACACACACACACACACACACACACATCCATCCCATCCCTCCCCTCCCAAGGCCACCCACCGCACACTGCCCTCCACCCGCCGTCCGCCGCCGCCGCCGCCCACGCTGCTCAGGTACGCGAGCCAGTGGCGATTCCCACCGCGCCGCCACCACGTCAATCATCGGCGGTGCATAAAGGAGACACGCAAACTGTCGACGGCTGAAACGCTTTCGGAATGCTACGATAATCGCGCCCATCAACACCACTCATCCGCACTAGCTTTTGCCCGCCAGCCACTCAGGCCCCGGCTGCCATAATCCCTTAGCGCCCGACTGACAGCCCGTCCTCTGAGTCGCCAGCGCAAACCTCCCCCTGCTCATTTCTCTGAATCGTCCGCTGCCTCCGTTAGTCGTCTACACCAATCCCCCCAAAGCCATGCCGTGAAAAAAAAACTGGGCCTCGCACTTGCACTGCTGATCAAATGCCTTCACATTCAAATCCAAATATCGACAATACGCGAGGGAAAAAAACAAAATCCCACTGCACCTCCTCCACCCCCAAAATGTGCTGTCTGCACTTCAAATCACCACTGCTTGCCTGCTTGTGCCACGCCCTCTCCGTAGCCCTTCAAATCACTCGTCCTGCTTTGCTGCTCAACACCCCGCGGACGGTATCGGTCCGCCCACTAGTCCCCCAAGTAACCACTCTCTTAGCGATTGGCAGGTACGATCCGCGCCGCCGTAAGCGGCCTTGCCTTCCTAGTCTCGTCCTCATCTGTCGTCCGTCCTGTTACTGGATCCAGCTCTTGGCCAATACAAGTCGCCATCTCGGCTCCACGCCTCTCTCTGCGCCTCATCCTGCCTGCTGCGACCCAATCTTGCCCTTGACACTGAGACCTCCTCAGCCATCCAAATCTCTCCTTCCACTCATCTCACCCCATGCCACCACTGGGTCCACAGCCTCCCGTACCATCTCCTGGCATGCCTCAAAATTGCGACTTTTTTGCTTCTATCGTTTGACAATTGTAACTGGCCAACACGTGAGCCCACAAAACTCCACCAAGCGGGGGCAATACGGTCATCTACTTACCAATATCTTCGTCTGCAAGCTCATGTGACAGTCCCACGCGCTGGGGCTGATGCTTGCAAGATTTTCCGTACACAATCGCATGCTTGAAGTTGTCCACAATCGTCTTGTGGATCGAGTTACACTGCTTGCAGTTAGCCCCTGGTCCACCATTGCAAATAATTTACATACAAAATCCTCAATAGTGCATGCCGTTGATCGCAATACCACTGGCGCAGAGTAATCGGGCATTTTACCCTTGGGCTTCGTGTAGACGCGAACCAGATTCAGCTTCTCCCACATTTGCTCCAGCAGCTCGTCAATGTTCCATCCGTGCTCCGAGCTGATAGGACAAGCATTCGGGATTCGGTAGAGCAGGTCGAGCTCCTCAATGCTAATCGCATCAATCTTGTTGAGCGCGTAGATGACCGGGATGTAGCTTCGACTCTTCGCTTCGATAACGTCAATCAGGTCATCCACCGTCGCGTCGCATCGAATCGCCACATCCGCGTTTGCCATTCGATATTCGTTTAGCACAGCCTTGATCTCCCCGTGATCAATATGCGTGAGTGGAACCGTGGCGGTGATATTAATACCACCCTTGTCCTTCTTCTTCAGCACAATGTTTGGTGGACTCTTGTTGATTCGGATCCCGAAGCCCTCCAATTCGTTCTCAATAACCCGCTTATCCGTGAGAGGCTTATTAACGTCCAGAACAATGAAGATCAAATGGCATGTCTTCGCTACCGCAATAACCTGTCGTCCACGACCTTTACCGTCTTTCGCTCCCTGAATGATACCGGGAAGATCGAGAATTTGGATTTTCGCTCCGTTGTACATGACTTGACCAGGTACAGTAGTGAGCTGTCCACTGTTAGTCATTAGCGGTTACACTGCATTTGCTTCCCATACCGTAGTGAATTCGTAAGCGGCCGCTTCCGAATGTTGTCCTGTCAATTTGCTCATGAGTGTACTCTTGCCCACCGAGGGAAATCCAATGAAGCCGACACTGGCCACACCAGTCCTAGCAACATCGAATCCGATACCACCACCGCCACCGCTACTCGAGGGCTCAAGAAGCTCCCTCTTCAGTTTAGCGAGCTTCGCCTTTAGTTGTCCTATTCATGTGGTGAGCATGTCGGCATGCCTTGTTCGATCGGGGTCCCGTACCAAGATGGAAAGACGTCGCCTTGTTCTTCTGGGTCTTGGCCATCTACAGTTTGTGTGAGTAGCGCTCCGACAATCGTCCAACGGATATGGCTTACTTCGGCCTCGATTTCCTTGATCTATTTCACCCCGTTAGCAAAGAGTGTGACATCGTTCTTCCTGCGTCAACACTAACCTTGTCCACTGTAGTCGACATTTTGGCGTGCTATATACCCTCTTCTTGCTCTGTGGTCGATGTAGAGAGGCAATGTGGTTGTTCAGAAATTTGGCGTGAGTGACGCCAGCCCACCAATGACGAAGCGGGGCACGGCTTTACGGCAGTACTTTTCACCGCCACTTCATATGGTTAGCGTGGTCATTTAGGAACCTTCTATCTTGGCTTCTATGCATGCTTCCATGGTTCCTGCTCCAAGCTGATATGCCCGATAGAAGCCGATTGTGAGGTTTTGGGTCGCCGAAAACACCCATTTGCTCAGAACACGTCGTATAGGGTGCATCCAAAGACGGCGACTACTGACCGCCTCCGCACAGCACAAGCTTTAGAGCCCGCAGATAGTTACATAATAAGAAATCACGTCCTGCACACGCGCAGTTTCCCAACACCACCACGGTTGCCTTGCTTAGACCGCCCTTTCAGTTACAAAACCGCGTTCACCTTCATCTCTGCACCCAAACTGCTCTATATTTCAACTCATCACCATATTAAAGCAACTGACAAGTTCCGCAACACATTAATCTTTGCATATCGCTTATTGTCAGAATGATTGGCCGTAACACAGAAGTGGACGAATTCCGCGCTCTCGTCAAAGCCATTAATGAGAAACTGGGGCCCAGCAGCGGCATTGATTCTGCGGATGTAGACGAGAAAGAGCTTCAACAGCTCATGGAGGCCTACGTTTCCAACGAGTCAGAATGGAAGAGATATTATTTCGCCTCAGACAAAGTTCCCTACACACGCAACCTGGTAGACAAGGGTAACGGCAAGAGCAATCTGGTATGATTCCGGGCATCTCGGTCGTTATGCCCTGCTAATAGCACAGCTTATCCTAGTATGGGGCCCCGGTAAGAAGAGTCCGATTCACGAGTAAGTAAATAAGTCCTCTGGTGATTAACACTAGTTACCCGCCATCAACTCCGTCGTCGCCCCAACGATTCCGACTCCAACCCTTCGCATTCCATGGCCTTGCTCTTCTGTACGATGAAGCGACTGTGTTCGCCGATCGATTGATCGTTGCGTCAGTACAGGAGACATGCCGGTAAGACGAACCGTATTCCGCCAAACCCATCACCATCCTCGAAACAAACATATCTACATGTCGGCCTTGCATCTGCCGATGCATGCAGCTCGACAAACTCCGAACCGGATGCTAACGCCGTTATAGCCACGCCAACGCACACTGCATCATGAAGGTTCTCAAGGGCCGCCTGACCGAAACCCGTTTCGCCACTCCTACAGATGAAGATGTGAAAAATCATCGACCCATGAAAAAGACTCGTGAGACTACGTACTCGGAGAACCAGGTCACGTATATGGCGGATAATCTGGGTACACACCGCATTTCCAACCCTGATCCGACTGATTACGCCGTTTCTCTACATTGTCAGTGCTGAACTCTGAAGTTGGGCAGAGTGTTGCTTACTGATGACGTGTAGTGTATACACCGCCTAATGCGGCTACATTCGGATGTAACGTCTTCAAGGAAGACACATCTGATGTCATTCATAACAAGCAGTGCCACTTCTTTTCCGAGTACGGCGTCAAGATGAGCAGGGACTGAGGTGCGGATACATTGATGCCAACTTGGAGTTACAGAGGGTTTATTCCAGAGATACAGATTGATTAGCATTCGTTTCAACGACTTCTTCTTTATAGATTGCACGGGATTACTTGGTCAAGGGAGTTCTTCGAGCGTTTAGTAATGATAACGAATTCTTTATTGCATATTACACCTACCGATAACTTTGCTAAACGAATTGGATTGTAGAAAGAACTATTCTGCCTTATAGGGACATATGGAATCTGCCTATAGACTATTTTTATTTAATTTATATCAAGGTAGTGAGATTTTATACTCGCTGAAGAAGATTGAAACCTATTGCATCATAGTACGATCAGTTCACCTTTTATTTAGAACAACCGATTGGAACATATTAATGGGAGTCCCAGTCGAGATACAATATCTAGTTTGTCTATACATTAATTGTTTCTCTAAAAAATAGCATCCTTTTGTCCCGGTTGATACATTAAAGATAGCGACTATGCAGGGCCCCAACAAATAACTAGTACTAACCATAGCAGCATCCAGATCTCACCCTTCCTCTTGAACTTACTCCTTGTTACAAAAATCACTGCTTTACATCTAATCGTCGTGCAGCTTACTCTTCAATGTTCCTGGTTACACTGCGGTCCCAGGGCAAAATTTGTGTGTGTGTGTGTGTTTAGATTTTACAAAAAAAAAGAATGAGCTCTCCAGCGGGTAATTGAACCCCGGTCTCCCGCGCATTGTCAGTTGACAAGCGGAAATACTGACCACTATGTAACTGTGCTGTTTGCCAACATGTCTGTTAAATTTTCCGTTTTGGGTTACCAAGATCTATTAATCTTTCCGTTTTCAGTCACCATAACCTGAGAGCCTGGTTTCTGTTTTTAGGCATATTGGTCTCAAAGTGGCTTGTGTTTTACCCCCTTGCATGTTGGGAGCCTTAGTGTATTGGTGGCGCTTATCGTCTTAAAGCAGCATCGCAGCGTTTGAATCATCAAGATTAACTGGCCATAGCTGTAATGGCGCAGGTAAGGCAAGTCGGATCTGTATCGGACGTAGGATCACTCAGAGGCATATGGGAGTGCGTGGGACAGCAGAAGAGTCTTGATTCAAATAGACAACCTATAGGCCTTGTACGAAAGGATATCAGAAATCTGCCTAACGACTACAGTCTCTAAGTCTACTCTTATACCCTCAGCTTCAGGTACCACTTTAGTACTGGTTCAGAACTAGGTACTACCCCGGACAGGGTCTGGACTAGCCTACCGACTCCAGTATTGGTTGTATATCCCTATCGGTTCTAGTACGTCCCTGTGGCTGGTCTTGGTGAAGGTCGCGGTGAAGGGCTGTTTCGTTACACCTATTACTCTTATACCTTTCGCGCTAATGACGCTCTCGTGGTTGTTGTAGTAGTCAGTAAGGAAGAGCGCGTTGCGACACGCGATGGCCGCTTCCCCTAATACTCCTTCTTACGCTTTTATTAGGCGGTCTTGTTATGTTAATGTGAGAGGTTTAGCAGATAGGAATGAGAATATCATAATAGTATTAAGACGAATCCTTGAGGAACCCTTAAGGGGTTGGATGAGGCTTATATACTACACGTGCCCTAAGCGCTGTTGGCCCGAGGGGTCTCCGATGGGGTCCCGAGGGTTGTCCTCTATGTCCATGTTAGAGTCGTGTGACAGTTAACTATCTATATTCTTAGAACTAAAAGACACTAGGAGAGCTCAGTAGGTTTACTTTGAGATTCATTAGTGTCTCTAAAATAACAATTACTGAAAGTTCCTATATATCGTTAAGAGCCCTGTTGCATAGAGATATAGCTGATGCTCTGCTGTTGGGTCTCCGGGTATCTCCCTATATCATTGTCTAGATTCTAGGCGTACGCTACCGTGTTGAACCATATAGTTACTTAGTCAAGAGCCTTATGCGTCGCGATATTAAAGGATTAGTAGTTCCCTAGCAGGTGAATAGTAAGGCAGGATGTTGATATGGGGCGTGCGTCCAAGCTGCAGCATCCCGCGTATTTATCGAAACATGGGTTGTAAGACTGAGCCACTGCCTGGATAGAGTCCGTTAACTACGACACCTGCATGTACCGCTTTACTACTGTATAGTCCATGATCGTTGTTCGAAGATGGCGTGGACTGACCTATTTTCTATTCTCGTGATAGTGCGGCTTTGAGAAGCTTTCTAGGCGGTCCTAATAGGGCTGGCAACGACTCGACTTAGCTAAAGAGAGAAACTCAGCTTATAAAAGTATGCATGCCTACGTAACAGCTATCCCATGAATGGCAGAACTGAGAAGAGTTAACTAGAAACCACTTGGCATGAATATGTCTTCTTATGGTCTCTTCAGCTAATTACTACTAGGATGACCGTAACGCTTATATGGAAACGAGGCTTATATTTGCAGTATGCTAAGGGCTATCCGTAAACTGCGCTTTAGGGTACGTGAGTAAGTATATGGCGGACTCGATAACGATTACGCTGTTGTTGCTAGTAAGACGATGGCGTTGTTATGTTGCGGTCGCGCTTGCTGTGAGCCGTCGTGCTGTCGAATTTTCGCGGTCTTCTTTTGGGTCAGACTTGACTTTGCTCGGGTTATTGGTTTGTTTTAGTTGTGTTTCCATCGCTAGGCCCAGTATTTGGCCAGACTGATTCATCTTTTGGCGGCGCGGCGATGTAAACTCCCGCAATCAGCACCCGGTGCTTGCAGGAACATTGGAAACGAACACCGAAAGAATAGCAGCGTAACTGGCAGATACCTCCATTATCTTGAAGCTCGACACCTTTAGGAAGAGTGATACAAGGAAAGACAAGATAATAAGGCATACTAAAATGTGTAAGGAGTTGTGGGTGTAGGAAGTCTCGTGTCCTCTTGTGTGCATCATCATAGGAGCAAGTTTAAATACAGAGTTATTAGTTAGTGGGCAACCACGTGAATATATGTAGTACTTTTAGGCTTACAAAATGATTACTAGCTAAGTGTTTCTTGACAACTCATACAACATGATAGCTAGCGGTGTAATAACAAAGATAGCTATCAACGCTGCAGTCGTTACCCGTCCAACGATATTGGCTATTAACATCGTGTTCTGGTACGACTATCGCTGCTGTCTACTAGTGACTGATCTAAGGCCTTTTCCATCACTTCTAGCCTTCTGCAGCAGTCTTCAATACCTGAAGGCCCGTAAGTATTTATAGAGCTAGCGCGAGAACGGGTCGGTCCGCGACCGTGTCCCTATGTCTACCTAAGCAGCCTAGTCTTGTGTACTTCATAGAGACTTAAGATCGTCACGCAGATTAGCATCGTCGAGAAGTGAAAAGGCCTCCATGGCCATGATATTATTGAAGGCAACAAGCGCTTGTTCTGTTGGCTTTCGAACCCTGACTGACGCGCAAGCGGCGTAGCGTAGCGCAATGCGGCGCAGCTCATCCTGGCGAGGCACATTAATCGGGCTGAGCACTCGCCTGTAGCGGGGTGATAACAGCTCTCTCCTTCACTTGCATTGTTGAGCAGACTGTGACTTCACTTCACTCTCCGCTCTTGTGTAGGGCTGTGGCTACGTGGTGCTTTTGCGCATCACAGATGATCTCTATTAGACGAAGTGAAGTCATATCATAGCCTGCTCTGATAACTGCAGGGTAAGAGATCTGTTAAGCTGCAGGGCCATGGGCGAGTAATCAATGAACGAGCCGATCCTACCCCACTGCCAACTACTTAGCGCTTACAGCTGCGCCCCGACTGGACCAACTACATTACCAAGTATCCACCATGCCAATATCTAGGCGGCAGGCAAGGCTGAGGCTAAGCGACAGCAACTGTCGACAGCGCTGCTACTGCTAGACTGCTTCTACTTCTACTTCTTTCTATCTGCATGGATTAATACCTAACAGGTACCGTTCTCTTCTTTCTCCTCCTTCGTAACAGCCCCGAATGCAACGCCAGCTTCGCCGCGAAGACTACACCGTAGGATGGGTGTGCACGCTGCCTGTCGAGCTGGCAGCGGTCAAGACGATGCTCGACGAAAAACACACAGACGCCAGTCGTGATGTTGGTGATGACGACGAGAACGTATATACCATGGGGTCGATTACAGGCTACAATGTTGTAATTGTGTGTCTTCCAGCGGGCCACATTAGGAATAATCTAGCCGCGACTGTCGCGACATAGATGCGGATAGCGTTTAAGGGTCTCCGGTTCGGCCTAATGGTGGGTATCGGTGGAGGCGTTCTAAGTGCCTGCGCAAATATTTGACTTGGGGACGTTGTAGCGAGCCAGCCGCACTCGACCTTTAGCGGAGTAGTTTAGTATAAGCTTAGAAGAAGAACACTAAACGGACTTGAGCGGATTAGATCGCTTAACTCTCTACCTTAGATACTGCTTAGCGCTATAAACACTATAAAAGCAAATGTAATAGTGAACGAGAGCACGCTGTTAGACCACCTATCGATACTCAAGCGCACCCCTATCTTCCGGCGCCGCAGAGCAGGGCCTAATCTTCTATCTAAGCTAACTTACAATGGCGAACATAATGACACGTACAGCTATTGTAGAGTTAAGAACCTGCAGCCACGATCAAAACGCAAGAGAGGAGAAGAGGTGACAGTATACTACGGCACAATCGCTTCTAGCAACTAGGTGATGAAGGATGCTGCCGAGAGAGACAGAATTAGCAAGGAGCTTAATGGGGTATTGTGTTTTGAGATGGAGGCGGCGGGACTAATAAACAGCTTCCCATGCCTTATTATTCGCGGCATCTCTGACTATACCGACTTATATAAGAACGACAAGTGGCAGGCTCACGCGGCAGGAACGGCAGCGGCATATGCGAAGGAGCTTTTATCAGTTATACGGACAACAGAGGTTATGACCACACACCGTGTAGAGAATGCTATGTGCAGCGGTGGGGGCAGTTAGTTTATTGACCGTATTGCTACTAAAGATGCAGTTACACTAATATAGCAATAGAACATTGCCGCCAATCATCATTTCCTAATCATGCTTCCCATAAGCGCCCAAAGATCGCTATCTTCAAGGACACAGAGAATGGCTCTGCAAAGTGAGTCTTTCATGTCTCCAAGTGACACTCCTCTATTAAACCTCTGCTAAACTATACAGACAATGAACTGTTCCCCGTACGTAACTTAATCATCTCAAAGTGTATACATGGCCTGTTCTTACTATACTAGCCCCTATCCACTCCCAGAAACCCTCGCAGACACCGCTGAACGATGAATAGAGGCAGAGTCTATTAGAGTCTCTGAGGTTTGACCAGATTGATGCACGTCAGATGACCATTAAGACTGCACACGCCAAGACATGTAGGTGGCTCTTACAAAGTGAGAAGTACCTCAACTGGCTCGATACGACCAAGCTAGATAAACACCATGGCTTCTTATGGATTAAGGGCAAGGCCGGGACGGGCAAGTCGACATTAATGAAGTATGCACTAGTCAATGCTCGCAAAGCAATGGAGAACCACATCATACTCTCCTTCTTCTTCAACGCGCGCGGCGAGGACATAGAGAAGTCTACAATTGGGGCATACCGTTCGCTATTACTGCAGCTCCTAGAGAATCTTCCAGCACTCTGGAACGTCTTTAATTCGCCCAGCTTCTTAAAGGTCACCAAAGATCACCAGTGGAATATCGAGACGCTGAAGACACTGCTGGAGCAAGCAATACAGAGCTTAGGAGACTCTTCTGTCGTATGCTTTATCGATGCGCTTAACGAGTGTGAAGAAGAGCAGGTTCGGGACATGGTCCAGTTCTTCGAGCACATCGGCGACCTAGTCGTATCACACGGCATCTACTTCCAAGTATGCTTCTCAAGTAGGCATTACCCATATATCACAATCCGGAACGGGCTAGAGCTAGTGCTAGAAGGTCATGAAGGACACTCGCAAGACATCACCAACTACGTTGAGACTGAGTTAAAGATTGGAAAGAGCAAGACTGCACAGCAGATCCGAACTGAGCTTCAGGAGAAATCGTCAGGGATCTTTATATGGGTTGTTCTTGTTGTGGGTATCTTAAACAAAGAATTCAATCGTGGGCAAGTACATCTACTTCGAGAGAAATTAAACGCAATCCCGGGGGACCTGCATAAACTATTTAGCGACATCCTAACGCGAGACTCGCGCAATAAGGATATGCTAGTGCTATGCATCCAGTGGGTGCTCTTCGCGAAGCAGCCGCTTAGTCCAGAACAGCTTTATCACGCTCTTCTCCTGAACATCAACTCTAACGCTATCTCCAAATTAGACCCTGAGGAGACTACGAAGCACGACATGAAGAGGTTCCTCCTCGACTTTTCTAAAGGCCTCGCTGAAGCCACCGTTTCTAAAGAGCCGCGGGTTCAATTCATCCACGAGTCAGTAAGGGATTTTCTGCTTAAAGAGAACGGCCTTAGCAAGATCTGGCCCAAGTTCAGAAGCAATTTCCAGAACTAAAGCCACGAACGACTTAAGCAGATGTTACAAGTAACAAGAAAGATTCTCTCCTTAACAAATGACGAGATGGCTGAAGGCCTATGGACGTCCACGTCAGAAGGTAATGATCATCGCGGGGCGAAGATCACGTGACTGGCTTCACGCCAAGAACGAGTATTCCGCACTAGTATGTGAGGACACCCTCACACGTAACTAGGTAGCTTCAGGGACTTCAGGAGATACAAGGATTATTTCGTGAAGACTATAAAGCCAGGACTAGAAGTAATAAGGATATAAAGATAGATAGATTTTATTATTTACTCTCGTTGTAGTTAACTCAAATTATACTTTCTTACTAGTATCTTTACTTAATAAGATTATTATAAGTTAGTCTATTAAATAGATTAGTCTTATTAAACCCTTCTTAAGCACGCTAACTCTACTATATCGCTAGATAAGCCTTACGGAACACTAACGTAATACTTATCTGCCTTAGTGCAGACTAGAATAGAGAAGTATAGACCTATACCCTATGTAATACTTTAACCACCTACAGATCTAGTAGAAGAAGAATTAACTAATAGTATCTGATTAAGATTAAACTATATTAGGAAATTTAAGCGAATACGTTAACATTCTAAGCCTAGTACCTAAGAGAGATATTAATATAACTAGTAGTATCTAAGGGGGAAGTAATAAGCCGGCGGTAGAGAGCCCTGAGTACGAACTCGTTAATCTTAGACGTAAGAGCTAAGTCTAAGTAAGGTAGATAGCTAAGTTATAGAATATAATTAACTAACTTATAGGTTAACTAATAACTACCCTAAATAAGAAACTACTTAAGAAGCTAAAAATAGTAACCTTAGAAAAGTACGATAGAAGTTGCACTAAGCTACGGACATTTCTTACTAATATCAACTTATACTGTTGTCAGATTTGATGGGTCTTTAATGATGGGGTCATGAAAAAAGGTGTTCATTTTTGCTATCTCCTGAGGTGTCGCCTTTTTGTGGCTTTTTTCTTTTCTTTTGTTTCCTTGGCCTTATGCATGGGCCTCAACTAAAGCCTTACTTCTGACACACCCCCTCAGCTTTGAACCCCTTCGGAGCTGGCGTATTATCTTCATCCCCTTTAATAGCTTCTTCAATACAGTTTTCCATTTCATTCACCTGAAGTGTCCTAGGTGATACCTGGCATCTCTCAACAAGTCCTAATTGGTTAAGAAAGTTCTCCCATTTATTCGCTGGCAGGGCCTTTGTTAGTCCATCGGCGAGCATATAATCTGTCGGAACATGCTTCACCATAATCTTGCCGCGGGAGACTTCTTGTCGGAGCCAGTGGTTGTGAATGTCTACATGCCGGAGTTTGGTATGTAGTTTGGCGATGTCCTCGTGTAACGAGTCGTATTG